GAAAGAAGAGGAGCGAAATCGCGATTACCTCCAACTGGAGAGCCAAGCCGGTGGGATCCTTGGCGGCGATTGCGTCGGAGATGGAGATTACGGAGTTGACGATGAAGAGAAAGGACAGAACGGAAACTGCTAGGAATGTCACGGCGGAGGAGGAGGAGAGGCCAGCGGATTTAGTCCCCGGTTCTGGTGGATGAAGATGAGCTGCCGTCGCCGGCAATCTTGAGGCTTCGGTGGCTGCTACGTAGGATTCCCAAGCGCCGATCAGTAGGAAACCCCCGCCGGCGAAGCTGTACTGGAAGAGCCCCATCGTGTTGACTCAAACCCAAAATTTAGCGCGTCTGAGTCGGGCTATAGAAATGGGGTTCAAAGTTCAAATAGCAAGAAAATTTATAGAAATGACATTAAAATGTTTCAAAAATGTTTGGTTTATATCACACTTTAAATTTTTGCATTTGCATAGTAAAATAAAGTTATATGTACACTAGACATCACCCCAAAATGTTTACATTTGAGATTTGTTTAAGTTTTTAGTGAACGCGATTCATGACGGTCCAGTATTCTCATTGAACCAGTATTGTTTTATAATTATTCAAACAAATTAATTGGGTTCGGTTTTAAGAGTAAAATCATTTGTACCACGTCGTTTTAAAATGAGATGGTACCATATCTTTCTAAGAACACTGAAAATACGCCTTATGCCAGGGGTGTCATCGGGTGTTTAAGGCTTTGAGAGCGTTAAGCACTGCCCCCTGCATTGCTATCGGGGCGTCAACTTCTTTGCGTTAAACGTTTAATGCGAAGAAAGTAAGAAGAAAGAAGCCGTCCCCCCCCCCCCAGTCCAAAATTAGGTCGTTGGATGTTTAAAAAAATTAAAATTTCAACTATAAATACCCTTTCAAAAAATATAAACATACACCCAATCTCTCTACAAATCATCAAAAAAATATCCTATATTCTCAATTCTCTCTAGAATCCATCCAAAAAATATCCGACTAGTATTTTTTTAAAAAAAATTAGATCAACTTCATCTGACGATGAGAGAAGAGCTCTCATGTTTCAGTCTTTCACAGCACGATGTTACCAGTGGTGGCAACAAGCACAACAAGAGAAAGCAGAATTGTCAATGTGCTCGATCTGACATGAGTATTTAACCCGTAATCGGCGGCTGCACACAAAGCACTACTCAACGACTACTTCAATGCATTGTGCATTTACACACCGGAGGATATTAGTAATTGTTTTCAGATTAGTCGTTCTTTATTTTCACGGATACTACATGATATTGAGAGTAAGGTGTCTTGATTCCCCCAAGGCCCCAACGGTTTGATGCGAGGGACCGGCACAGTTTTAGTAGCATGCAAAAGTACACCATCTTGCTTTGTCAAATGTTTGCAGAACTACTAGTGATATGTTCAATGAATACTTGAAGATGTCGGATTGAAACATTAGGTCATGCGTATATAAATTCTCTAAAGCTATTATTCGACTCTATCATAGGTATTTGCGTAAGCCGGTGGCGAGCGACATTGGGCAGCTATAAGTGAGGCATATCGCTAAACACAACTTTGTCGGCATGCTAGGGAGCATCGATTGCACGCATTGAGAATGGAAAAATTACTACGTGGCATGGTAATTTCTCCTGAGGTGACCATCCCAAACCTACTATTATGCTCAAAGCAATGGCTTCGTTTTCGAATGACTTATGGTTTTGGCATACTTTTTTTGGTCTTGCAGGCTCGAACAAGGACATAAATGTTCTAAATCAATTGCTTATATTTGACGATTGAGTTAATGAGACTGCACCTGATTCGTCTTTTGAGCATGTAGAAACATTTTACAAGCGTGGATATTATCTTGCCAATGGAATATGTCCAGATTATTCTACAATTGTCATCTCGATTTCAAAATCAATTGGTCTTAAACGGCAGACGTACAAAAATGCTCAGGAGGCGTCAAGAAAGGATATCGAACGGGCCTTCAAGGTGTTGAGGGTAATTGACACATCATTGATCGTCCGTCCAAGTGTTATTCTGAAACGGAATGAACGCATGTATTGTTTTTCATAATATGATTATAGAGGACACGACTTTGCAAATTGTCATTACAACCCGGATGAGGAGGTACCTAACTACGAGACGTAGAAAAGAAACGAAGAAATCTCTATGAAATTCGAAGCCGAGAGATTCACGATGCACTAATGGTGAATTTGATTGATCATATTTTTAGTCCCTCAAATAATCAGTAATGTATGTAATTTTTAATTATTTTTAGTCGTTCAAGTAATGTAATTTTTATTTATGTTGTTATTAATAAAATATTTTTTATTAATGTAATTTTTTGAAATTTAATGCACGTTTTTTATTGAATATAATTTTTTAATTTAATGAATTATTGCGCTTTAAATTTAATTAATTAATGAAATCTTAATAATTTATTTTTACAAAATATGTATTAAAATAAAAAATAAAGGTTTGAAGCCCAAGCTTTAAACCTATTTCTATTGAAACTGTGAGGTAAAATAAAGGGGGATTCAAGCGATGTGACATAGATAGAAGGTTTGAAGCACCGAGCTTCAATTGTATTTCCAGATTCCAATGCTCTAATATCAAAATATATCTTAATACTTTGAACTTTAAGCAAATTTCTTAAAAGACAACAAGGGGGAAATAGGTATGTTTGATTAGTAAGACTAAGGCTTCGTTCCATTCAACTTGTTTTTTCTGATCTGATCTGATTTTTTGTAGTTCGGATCTGATCTGATTGGATCTAATCTGATCTGGTCTGATCTGATTAGATCTGATCTGATTAGTTATGATTTGGTTTAAAATTCAAATCAATAATTTGATCTGACTTTATAATAACTTTTTAAAATTAATGTAATCAATATTTTTTTATTTTATGATTATTTTTTTATGAAATAAAATTAGTTGATTCATCTACTAGAATAATCAATCATATTATAATGTAATAATACTTTTTATTTTATGATTATTTTTTATGTAATGAGAATATTGATTTAAATTATTAGTTCATATATACATTAGAATAATTTTTTAATTCATATATTCATTAAAAAGTAATTAAATTTAGATAATCAATATAGAGAAGAGATAGTATTTTTATTAAAATATCTCATCCTTATAAAATATCAATGTTAAGAAAAGAAATAATACATTTTTCTACATCTTGTATAATAATATATTGCATGCTAGATGTGTTTGACAAAAAAAATGTTGTATGCTATAGATAATACATTGCATAAAATGTTACACACTCATATTCTCTTCAATCCCACTCATTGAATCCCAAATTTATTTTTTGAAAGAATTGTATCGAGTTAAACAAATAAAAAGTATGAAATTTAAAATAATAATAATAATAATAATATCTGATCTGATCTGAGCTGGTCTCATTTGATTTGATTTGATCTGATTGTATCTGATTTGATCCGATTAGATCTGATCTGATTAGATTTGATCTGATCTTATTTGATGAGATCTGATCTGGTATGATCTAGTCTGATTTTAATAAGAATAAAAAAGCAGAAAAAATAAGTTGAACAGAACGGGGACTAAAACATACTATTTTATATACCCCAGAGTATCAAAATAGAATTTCTAATATTCTTATATAAAAAAATAATGTTAAATATACTAAGAAAATTCTCTTATAGTCGTTAGCTTCATGATTATTATATGGATCTTGATACATAAAATTATTATCTATAGTGGGCTTTGTAAAAGAAAAAAATTCAATTATGAGTCTATTTAAAATTTGAGAAGGTCCACATTTCACACGTAGACCTTAGGATCATAATAACACAACTGTAAATAATAACGTTCAATGCCAAATTGTGGGCATTTTACATTCCCAACACTCTTAATTTGGAGATAAAAATGGAGACAATTTTATTTTAATGAAAAATTTACATCAATACTCCGAAAAAATCTTCGATTTTATAAGAATGCTCCGAAAATCAATTAATTACACTATTACTCTCACAATTGTTCTATTTTTACAAAACACTTCACCCGCCACCTCACTTGCACAATCATATTGTGCAATATCTATATCAATTTTTAAAGTGATGACTTGAAAAATAAATCACTTTTTCAACTTTAGAATTCCAACCTTAAATAGTTTGCTTTAATTGTGAGAAACATGATTCATATTTGAGTTGGAGAAGGAATAAGTTATTTATTTTCTTATGAAAACTAAAAAAAGTAATTTCTTTCAAATCATCACTTTAAAAATCTATTTAGACATTACACAATTTTATTGTGCACGTAAGGTGGTGGGTAAATTGTTTTTGTAAAAAGAGAACAATTTTGGAAGTAATGATGTGATTAATTGATTTCAGAGTATTCTTGTAAAATTGAGGGGGGGGGGTTAGGGATGGGGATATGAGGGGTATGAATCATCAATTTTGTAAATAGAGCATCAGAGGAGCTCCAAATAAGTGAGTTTATCTCTTGACACTGGATGCCTATATATGAGTAAGTTTGGGATGTCATCTCTTACACTATTTCGCTTGGAATACCTAATGTGTCCTGTTTGTAAAAATGAAGATTCTTATTCTCCTAATTCTCCCCTTAAACCCCTATCCAGCCTCCCTCCCTACCCCGATAGTATACTACCTGACAATATACTGGCAGGGTACTGGGGTGAGGGACAGTGATAGAGTAGGGTTTAGGGGTAGAAATATGAATAATTTACCTATGTAGAACTAAAAAATAATGACTTTCTCAATATAGGACCATATGTTTTTATTTTCCAATGTAGAATCATTAGTCATTATCTATTAATCATTATTCAACTAGATGTCCAGCATCACTGGGACATTATTCTTCTCATTAGTTATTATGAAGTCCTATTTAAGGAATAAAAAAAGTTTAAATCCTACATTTAGAAATGATTTATGTTTTAACCATATTCAATGCAAATTTCACTAGAAATATTCATTTTTAGGAACGTAATATTGTAGATAACCCAAATGAACGGGTAAATAAGTAGTTGGTTTATATTGTAAATTGGTTATGGATTCTGGAAAAAAAAATAAAAAAAGGGAATTTCTCGTCCTCCACCCCAGTTCAGCCCCAACACCACTGGCTGCTCTCTAGTCCGGCCTCCGGACGCCCCTGGCTGGTCCCTCCAGTGTTCCCCTCGACGCCGCGACTGCGCCTCCGCCGCCAGGTAAATGCCGTAAATCCTCCTCCAGACAATTCATATCATCAATTACTCCGTATTACCTCTGTCCCTTTTTAATCTTGCAACTTCACATTTTTGGACTTCCCATTTCCTTTTTAAGGAAAGAACTGTTAAATCAATTCTATTGCACAAAATTCAACAATATAATATCACCTTTCTTTACGCAAATAAGGCAAATGGGAAATTAGATAGAAATTGAGGGAGTCTGATTGATAGTATATTGATATGTGAATTTGTGATTTTTGAAGTATGAATATGAGGTTAATTTCCATATAACTATATGGCGGTTTAGTTTTTTAAAATGTAATTAGTAAAGTGCTAATTAAAGGTCACTTCTTAATTTTCTGAATTATTTGATTTTAAATTTAGGATATAAAGATATTTTAAAAAGACATCAAGATTCAAAGAACTTGAATCAAGTGATAATCTATCTAATTTGAATTTGAATTTGCTTCGTCATTTTTACATCAACCTTACATCAACAGAGCAAAATATGAATGAACATGAATCCCTTTGAACGACAAATGGTGTGAAAACGGAAGAGGATGAGGTTCGAAACAAAATTTGTGACCACTATTTAAATGACTGCTTAGTGACATACATAGAGAGATAGAGATATTTTCACTACGTTTAGCGATGATGTTATTATGATAAACCACTTCCAAATATGAAAAGTAGACACTACCAATTGTAAGTTGTATTTATATGTGCAATATAAGATTATTATTGTTTTTCAATTTATTTCAGAATTTTCATGTTATATACTCCCTCCGTCCCCTTTTAGATTACAATATTCCCTTTTAGACAAAATTAAGGAAGAGTCAAATCAGTATTTTTTTCCCCAAATTACCCCCCAAATAGTATAGGAATGGGTGGGTGGGTGAGATTTGACATTGAAATGATAAAGGGGAGGGAGGGTAAAAGAGTCCATTTAGTGTAAAAGTAAACACTGTAATTTTTTTGGGACAAAAATAAGAGGGAATATTGTAATCTAATTGGGGACGGAGGGAGTATAACATTTAATTTTATGGATTACTCTTTTACTTAATGCTTGACATGGGGCGTGTGGATACAAATTTTCATGAATGGGGCCCCATGACCTTTAATGAGAAGAGAAACAAGGAGCATATGCCTCTCTAACAACAGTAACCCTACATAATCCCAACGGAGTTGGGATATGGGGGTAAAGAATCAAGATGTACACAGTGTTAATGTGACATTTCGATTTAGTCTATTATGTGCCCCGAAACTAAAACATTGTCAATAATGACTCTCTAACGGATTGATTATTATTGTGTTTACACTTCTATGGAAAGTCTAACTGGACTGAATTGCATGTTCAAAAAGTTTATGCTGGCGTTGAAATTGTGGTGATTGATAGGTGCCTATCATGCAATGTTAAGATTTTTACTTGTTATAATGGATTCTTTTCGTAAAGTGCAGATTCCATGGTGAAGTAGTTTAATATTTTCTGGTTGACAAAGCACATTATGATGCAGAGGCTGTGGGTGGAGGATATGATCTGGTTGCATTTGAGTATTGGGGCATTGGAACACTGATAAGTTTTGGCTGCTTATCTGGAGTTGGATTGCTGCCTGCAACACCTGAAGTTTTTATCATCCAATGCTAAATGTTTCAAAAGCATCTTCTTCGCTCAACCTCCAGAACTCTCTCTTCCCTTACTGTTTCTGCTTCTACATTGGCCTTAACCCATTATTCCCATTACGTTATTGAGGAGGTTTTAGCATCCAAACTTGCACCAATCTTACTACAGTGTACTTCTCTTTCGGGCAGTTCTGTCTCAGTTCTTCAAAAAGGCTATCAAATTCATGCCCAAATAATTGTAAATGGAATGAAAAACATGGGTGTTTTAGGGTCCCGAGTCCTGGGGATGTATGTTCTCTGTAACAGATTTTTTGATGCAAAAAAATTGTTTTGGCAGCTTAATCTATACTATGCGTCTCCTTGGAATTGGATGATCAGAGGGTTAACTGTGATGGGTCATTTCAATTATGCACTTATGATTTACTTCAAGATGCTGGGTTTTGGTACTTGGCCTGATAAGTACACTTTTCCTTATGTGATTAAGGCCTGTGCGGGTTTGCATGCAGTCATGTTGGCAAAATCAATACATCAATGGATTTTTAGTTTGGGTTATGAGTTAGATATATTTGTCGGGAGTGCTTTGATTAAGCTTTATGCTGAAAATCGTTGCATGAACGATGCTCGGCATTTGTTCAACAAATTGCCTGTGAGGGATATTGTTTTGTGGAATGTGATGCTCAATGGTTATTTAAGTTATGAAGAATCTATGGATAGTGTGGTTGGATTGTTCATGCAGATGAGATGGACTGATACTAAGCCAAATTCTGTGACATATGCGTGCGTCCTTTCGCTTTGTGCTTCTGAAGGAATGGTTGAGTTTGGGACTCAACTTCACGGTCTTGTTGTAAAGTGTGGATTGGAAGTAGATGCTCACGTGGCCAACACATTGATAACGATGTATATGAAATGCTTTTGCTTGTTTGACGGCAAGAAGTTGTTCGATACATTTGGAAAAAGTAATTTGGTGCCATGGAATATAATGATTGGTGGATATGTCCAAAATGGGTCTATAGATGTGGCATGGAATCTGTTTAGTGAAATGATAGCTATAGGTGTTAAACCAGATGGCATCACTTTTGCAAGTTTGCTACCCTCAATTTCTGAATCTGGAAATCTGTGTCTAGGTAGGTCTATTCATGGATACATTTTGAGGCACAATGTCTCCTTCGATGTGTTTTTAAAAAATGCACTCATTGATATGTATTTTAAGTGTAGGAGTGTTGAAATGGCCCGCAATGTTTTTGAGGATAACATGCTTGTCGATATTGCAATTTGCACGTCTATGATTTCAGGATTCGCTGTGAATAGGTTGAATCTTGATGCCCTAGACGTGTTTAGATGGATGTTGCGTAAGCGAATGAAGCCAAATGCACTTACTCTTGCAAGTGTGTTGCCAGCTTGCACTGAATTGGCTGCCCTGAAACTTGGCAAGGAGTTGCACGGTACCACCTTTAAACATGGGTATGTAGGAAAATGCTTCGTGGGTAGTGCCTTGACAGACATGTATGCAAAATGTGGAAGGTTAGACCTTTCTCATCGAGTGTTCTCATTGTTGTCAAAAAAAGACATGGTTTGTTGGAATTCCTTGATCACTGGATGTTGCAAGAATGGAGAACCCGTACAAGCCATTGATGTTTTCCGCAAGATGGGTGCAGAGGTATCTAAGTATGACTGTGTCAGCATATCAGGTGCTCTTTCTGCATGTGCAGACATAGCAGCCCTCCATCATGGAAGAGAGATTCATGGCTTCATGATCAAAGGTTCATTTTACAATGATCTTTTTGCTGAAAGTGCACTGATAGACATGTATGCCAAATGCGGATGCTTGCATAAAGCACGCACCGTGTTCGATTTGATGAAGAAGAAAAATGAAGTTTCATGGAATAGTATCATTTCTGCTTATGGAAACCATGGTCTATTAGATGAATCTCTAGAATTGTTTGTTGGGATGGAAGAAGACGGGTTCCGGCCTGACCATGTCACTTTCCTTGCTATCATATCTGCTTGTGGTCATGCTGGTCGGGTTGAACTAGGGAAGTGCTATTTCAACTCCATGATCCAAGAATACGGCATCATACCCAGAGTGGAGCATTATGCATGCATGATCGATTTGTATGGTAGAGCTGGTTGTTTAGAGGAAACATTCAAACTCATAAAAAACATGCCAATTCCCCCAGATGCTAGCATCTGGGGTGCATTGCTTGGTGCCTGCCGAGTCCATGGCCATGTTGAGCTAGCAGAAATGGCTTCAAAGTATCTATTTAACCTGGATCCACAAAATTCTGGCTACTATGTTTTACTATCGAATCTACAGGCTGGAACTGGAGACTGGGAGAGAGCATCGAGAACAAGAAATTTGATGAAGGAGAGAGGAGTCCAGAAAATGCCCGGTTATAGCTGGATTGAAGTTAACAACACCACTCATATATTCGTTGCTGCGGATAAATGTCACCAAAAATCCGCTCATATTTACTTCATGCTGGATAATCTTCTTAGGGAGGTGCAGATGGAGGGGTATTATCCTTAAACGTATCTCCAACATCATGTTACTTCTACCAGTGCTGATAAACTCTCTTATTAATAGCTCCCAATGGTACGGAGGACAAACACTTCGTTGATGATGATGTTTTTTGTGTTATTATATCTATTTTTTCTCTCTTTATGAATGGTTTATTTCTAGTTTTAGTCACTGGACTATTACATTTTTTCACACTTGGTTTGGCTATAAATATAAACATGGGATTGATGAGTGCTAGGTTTGGGTGCTAGCTGAAAGAATTTGAAGCAGATTTTCCCAATTCTCACTCAGTTAGAAAAGAGTTAATTCCAACCCCTCTAGTTCCAACTACACTCCGCTTTCACTTTAAGCCTTCTATTAAAGACCGTACAAGAATTGGTACCCAAGTTTGAAAATATTAAATATGCCACTTTTTACAGTTATCCTGATTGGTTCTGATATGATTTTTTTAAGGTTTGACCTGATCTGATTGTAGTGTAATTTAAAGTTGTTGCTAATCTAGTCTGATCTGATTCCAATAAGTAGTAATTAGAAAAAATAAGTTGAAGAGAACATGGCCTAAAGATTTAAGTCCTGGTAAGGAACCAAATTTAGCACTAAATTTGGTGCTTAGAGAACTAAAATTAACAAGCTTTTAACTTTCAGGGACACTTCTGCATATTGCATATGACTTTCTTAAAGGATCACAGACATCAAAATATCATATATAAACCCTCCGTTTCAAATTATAGTTTATAGTTTGACTTCACGGAGTTTGAGAAAAGTGCATGAATGATAGGGGTTATACTTGGTTTGTTGTTGTTGTCAGTTGTCCATATGACTTCACGGAGTTTACAGTTCTCAGACCCTAACCGAGTTGGGTTTTAAGGTTATACTACGTTTGTTGTTGTTGTTGTCTATTTTGTGCACATCATAGGCGATTCTCAAAAAAAGTAAATATGGATTACATATTGATGTTTAGTCACTTTGAGAAAAAATTGCATCCTAGACACATTGGCACTATTCACTAGCTATCTCTGCACAAATACTCAATTTTCCTACATCTTGAAAAAATCTCGTATTGGTCCTAGAACAAAATATATTTGTAACAAGCTTGTTGCATATAATTTGTGCATTCTGACTTGAGTTGGAGTGTGGAAAGTAGTTTGTTTTGCTTTTAGAAAAAAAGGCCATCTAGAATACCTTCGGCCATAGCTTACTTTATTGTTTAAGGCATTTGTTCTCAAGTTGTGGCTTAAGTCATTGTATTTAGCTAACTATATATACGACCTTTGTGCAAATCTGTCACATGAACAATATGGTTTAGGAACACACACACACACACACACTAAGTGTCTCTTCTACTCCTTAATTAATTGTCGTTCACACGAATCTTTTGTTTGACTCAGATCCTGGAGCTCTTGAGAATATCGGCTCTGTACTCGATGTGGATGAGGATACACTTGTGTTTGAAAGAGGACATCATGTTTGGTTCAAGGAATTCGAAAGGAAATGAAAACATAATGGTTTTTTCTCATTTTCCTCACTAAAATGGGAGAAATGTGGTTTTCTCTCCTCTTAGTACATTTTGTCTTCTCGTTTTTTTTCTAACTATTCTTTTCTCTTCCTCTCCAACCAAACATGAAAAAATCTTTTCTCTCTCTGTTTCTTTTTCTTTTCCCTTTCAAAACCCTTGAACCAAACATACTGTGAAAGAACCAATTTTGAAGAGTTTGTCTGTGCATCACTTGAAGAAACTGGTGACATCCCTAGTGAATGAGAGAACACAAAGTCAGCCATAACTGTTGAACAACAAGCTGAAACAGCAAAATCGGAGTCCATCAGAAAAGGTATTGAAATCCGGTAGATTTTTTTTTTCAGTCAGTCACTTAAAATATCCAGATGGGTTTGGGGACAAAGCACCCAGAGGGGGGAACCAGCAGAAGCATAGTACAATTAAGCTTCTGCTTCCCAAAGGGCTAAGGTCTTGGCTCAAAACAAGGAAGCCAATTGACACATGAGTCGAACTTGGTGATTTCAGTTCTGGGAATGCTCAAACATGCTCAAAGTTTTGTACTTCAGAACCAAAATGGGCGAGGTATGTGAAGCTGAACATTCATAATCGTTACAGAGTGAAGTTATATTGTACATTAACACTATATTTGGTTCAATGAATTTGGAAGGAAATGAAAAGAAAATGATTTTCTTTCATTTTCCTCATCAAAATGGGAGGAATCTGGATTTTCCTCCACTTAGTACATTTTTCCTTCTCATTTTCTTTTCCTTCCACTTTTGATTTCTTTTCCTCTCTAACCAAACAAGAAGAACTGTTTTTCACTTCATTTTCTTTTCTTTTTCCTTTCAAATTCCTTGAACCAAACATAGTGTAAGTGTTCTGGAAGTGTATGGACTTGATGCTGTGGAGAAGATGTTGCATGATACTTTCCTTTGATGTATTTGGGGACCAATGTATTTGTCTTAGATTCCGTCAAGGATTAATCGACAATTTTTTCCATCAAAATGTAATTTTCAGAAGTAATCAGTATTCTTCACATTAGTTTGTTCTTTGTTCTCTGCCTCTTTGAGTTTTGTGCTTTCTCTGCTTTGTCTGTCTCATGTGTTCTTATATTATCTGCTCTATTTGAGTCGGGGGATTCTGATCTCGTGAGATTCAATTAGGTTCTAATTAAACATATCTAATTGATTATAAGATTCAAAATCAACCAAAAGAAGACACCAAACCAAATGCACACTAATAGCCTGTTCTTTAGGACTGGAAAAAAAGAGCTAGATGTTGGAAGGAAGTGGAAGAAACTGAAAAAAAAGTCGAAGAATTGGAAGAAACTAGAAGAAACTGGAAAAGATTGGAAAAACTTCAAAAAATTGGAAAACCTAAAAAAACTTTAAAAAATTTATTTTAGTGTATTTTTATATTATTTAAATTCTAATTCTTGGTGTTATAAATTATTATTATTATTATTGTTATTATTATTAATATTATTATTATTAGCATCATCATCATGTTATCTTAATGAATGGCTTTAAAATAAAAAAATATTGTTATTTTCCTAACATAAAACAACTACTTTTAAATAATACGTATAAAAATACACTAAAACCTGGAATGTGTTACTACCTGAAGAAAATTCTCCTGAATAGAAGGATGTTTGCAGGTATGAATGTGATGGAGAACTATGAAGTTCAAAAGGGATATGAGTGGCTAATGGGAGCTAACACTAAATTCCAAGCTTATCATATTGTTTGGAACAAGCTGACCATACCGAAACATCAATTCCTGATTTGGCTTGGATGGAGAAACAGAATCAACACCAAAGTTAGATTGAGTAGGTTCATGGAAATAGACACTAACTGTGTGCTGTGCACACTAATGGTGAAGAAGACAGAAACCATCTTTTCTATACATGTTCTTACACTATGGACATTATGGATGAGATTGGACAGTGGTTGCATTTTAAGTGGAAGACTACAAATGATGATGAAATGAAAGAAGATTTCAAACATATCAAAGGAAGGAAACAAAGACAGATAATAATGGCTGGATTCGCTGCCATTTGCTATACGCAGTATGGAAGGCGCGCAACCTCAAAGGAGTGTTTCAGCTGGAGAAAGCAAAGAGTGGATTAAATTTCAGTTGAAAACTTTTATAAACTACAAACTTAGGAGTATATATTTGAGATAAGTTTTGTTTTTGGCAGCTCTGTATAATCTACATTTCTGTTGATGTATTGGGTGACTTTGATGTGCTGAATAAAGTATTTGCGCATTTGTTAAAAAAAAAACTACTTTTACAAAAAAATAATTATAATATAAAGTTAGCATAAATATCAAAAAATTAAATTTTAAAAAGTTATTGTGGTTACGTTGCATCTCAATTTATTTATGCAGTATTTATTATAAATAATATATTTGTAATTATATTTTATATATTACAAGATTTTGTTCTAAATATCAGACATGTCACATAATGTAATCAAACATATTGTTTCTATCATGATTGACATTTTATTTTCATTGTAATTCCTATCTTTGGAATAAAGACATAAAAAATTTTTTCACATTTTTTATGTTTTACTTCTATTTTAGTCTTTTTTTCTAAATTATTTTGACTTTCAATTTTTTTATTAAGATTATAAAAATGAGAAAATTTTGAGTAATAAAGGGAAAGGTGAATGGTTTTATATAAAGTTAGATTAATAAAACATTCTATGTAACTATTTTATCCATGATTTTTTAATATAGTTTAAATATTGTTGTTTTCCTGTTTTATCATGTAGATTAATATACAAAAAAATTGTCCTATTCATATTAAAAAGTTGAAGAAAAAATAATGAGTTTGAATCGTAAAAATAGTGAGATGAAAAAAATAATTTATATACTATAGTTATGAACATAAAAGTTGTAATAATAATAATCATATTAAAAATATATCGTGTTTGGATTATGGCAGGCTTTCAGATATTCCCATTCAAACATACAGGCAATTTTTGGATGTTTGGTTGGATTAACAAACGACATGATGGGGCGTTTGGCAAATAAGATTTTTGGGGAACTTTTAAGTCCACTCCACAAAAAGCTTATTTTTCAAACAAACTTTTTTCATGATCTACTCAATCAAGAACCTAAACACAAACATATAACATCTCGTTTTCAAAGTCTCTAATTGAATGTAAAGTACTGCCAAACATGGCATTAGGGAGAAAATAACACAGAATAATGGGGTAAGCAAACTTTATTGATTCTGAGCAAGGGTAAAAAAGTAAATCCCGAGTGACCCACCACTTATGAACTGGTACATGGAACAAATACACATAATTGAATAATTCCTCCACTTTTCTTCTTACAATATCCTCTTTCCTTTCTAAGCCTCTCCATCTTTTGGAAGGTGCCAATAAGCAGATGTCTTCACATCTGAATGAACTGCTCAGATTAAGATTTGAGACAATGAACCAATGAATTTCACCCACTTCTTCTTCTTCTTCTTCTTCAGAAATCTTCCCGCATATCGGGTTTCCTCTTGGCCTGAATAGCAAGCCGTACATCTCTCTCCCGTTCAAACTCTCTGTAATCTGCACGCTGCAGGAAAGAGACCTTGTCTAGATATTGGTTGGAACTCTTTTTGTATGCATCCAGTTCTTCTTCGACGCCTTTGTTTTCTCCCTTGTATTCTACCCAGTCCTTCTTTGTCTTATCTAGCACGCTGAGTTTCTGTTTCTTCTTCATTTGTTCAAGAACGGCGTCAACAGCAGAAACAGGCCCCGCAGGAGCTTTCCCTTTGTCTGATGCATCTTTTGAGCTCGCGTCAACATACTTCTTTACTTCAATTTCTTCCCCGGCAAAGTCCCGAACTTCGGAAACCTTTAAAGTAAAAACATCTTTATGAAATGTACAAGAAAAGGGGCAAACTAATCTCTCTACTTGAGTTCCACTAGAGTTGCAAGATAGCAGTTTTATGAAGAAGAAGAAGAAGAAGAATGTTTGGTGTAGTTTTGTTGTGTGTTTGGGGCTTGAAAAAATGCTAGTACAGGGGCAAAACTAAACACTTTTGATCAATGGGTGAGTCCCAAAAAAGTGCTTTGAGCCTTCCGGCCAAAACCACTACTTTGTAATGGTTTGGGCAATCCCTCAATATACGAGATTACGCGATAGTCCTTTGATATATGAGATGAACTCTTCAAGAGCAAAACGAAAACAGTAAATTAACCTCAATTTTTCCCCTGTTGGAAGATGCAGCTGCTGAAATAGCATCCTTTGCAGCAGAAAGAGCAGCAGCAGCCAGTTTCTTTGCATCTTCACTTGTGTCCAACTGTATTGTCTTGGTTGGCTGCTTCTCAGTTGCATTTCGGACAGAGGATGATGCTTTTTTTGGTGCTAAACCCAGTACCGTCATCCAATTCTAGAGAGACATTAAACATCAAAAGTCACTCATGCTAAAAAAGATTTCATAAAAACAACATAGATGCACTAGTACGCACCACAGATGTCTTTGAACTTTTAATAGTACTTGATTTGACTGGTGAGCTATGTTTCTGTAATATGGAATTAAGAGTTTTCGTAGGAACCCCTTTGTTCATCTGCTGCCAAACAGCATCTACCCTAGCCTTCTGCTCTGGAACCATTTACCACATTGACTATTAACATTAGATTACAACCAACCTTCCACAAACAAAAAGGGACAGGAAAACAGTGAAAACTTTGTTTGTGCCAGGGATAGAAAGCAAAAACATAGTATGAGAATGCAAAAAATGATGAAAACCATGAGCAAGTGTATATTTATACCGGCATCTTCAGAACGTGCCTCCAAAGTTTGATTATGTGCAATGTCTTGGTTGGGCTTGGTTCCGGTACCATCTTTATCTTGTGATGCACCTGAATTGTAATACTGAACATCTCAACAATCTGTATACAAATTAAAATGAAACCCAGAATATTGCTAAAGATACAGTGATTAGTGAATACTTTTGACTTCAGAGTAATGCAAGAAAATTGTATTGTGCCAAAGTGAAGTCTAAGAAAACTAGGCATTACTAGCAAAGAGAAACACATACAACGAGATCATGAAAGCTCAATTCTCAGTCCTAAAAACTGCATGACAAGTTTGGAATAAACGAATGTTACTACATTGTCCCCCCCCAAAAAAAAAAATTAATTTCGTTAGGATCCAATAGTAAAGAATCATTATGTCATTATGTGTTGGTTTAACTAAAATTCTTACACTCTCTTCTTCCAAAAATTATGTTCTCCATTGAAATCAAAACAGTTATCAAGAAATCTAAATTTGTATGGTTGAAGCTTACGCATAGGAGAGAAATAACTTGCAGTTTTGCACAACCAAAATTTTCATTAAAAGGAAACTGGAACCTAAACTTAGCTAATTTAGCATATAGCAAAAAAAAACGTGGAACCTTATATGGACAGTGGGAGTATCTAACTTGCATGCAATCTCTCTTTGGCTTTTTGCCAGTTATTTTGACAAATTATCTGAAAAAAATAACTTCATTTAATCAAACTAAACTCCTCTTTTAAAAAATAAAAGGGCATGAAACACGGCTTTTTTGGGAGGGAATACATCATAGTCGTAACACATAGTAATTAAAATCACTGCAATGAAGTGACTAAAGGTAGTGACCGATGCAATCCATATTTTTAAGTTAAAAAATTTCCTTGTATTTCATAATATATACGGAGTATATTTTTCAAAACTTTTAAAATATCATTTTGATGTGTCTCAGCACCTGTTGAGCGAAATGCAGGAGAAAAATTTAAAATACATTGCAAATCTAAGCAAATCAATTTGCAGATCATAACATCATGGAGAATGAAGTTAGGAAAAAATTCTTGCAGAAAGGCGTGGTCTATTGCCATCCTGGTTCTTTCTCTTCATTTTCAATTCATACAATTTTGGTTATTTTCCTCCTTGGTGCATCCAATTCTCATTATTCGTATAACACACAACCAGTTAATTAATTCCAAAACACCTAAAGTAAAAATATATCATCAACATAAGAGCAAGCATGCTTTAATAAGGTGCAACGAAATAACCCACAACGAGAGAGCGCAACATGTTTTTTTTTCATCACACGCAATTTGGAGAAAAGAGATGAAGTAAATAAGGGAGAGAAGGAAAGAAAGATAAAGTATTAAGGACTCAACTGTAAATAGGCTGCGCTTGTGCAGTCAATTCAGCCATTAACCCTGTAAAATACCACGTGTGACTAGAGGCAGGATTATAATAAACAATGCTAACTCCTATAATCCATGATTAGAAAATGTTGTTTCTAGATAGAATGTTTTTCATTTTATTTAAGATAATCAGAACTTCAGAAGCCCGGGAGTATAGCTTAGTTGGTAATTAGGGAAGCAAAAGGGGTATTATCGGCAAGGCCGGCCTTGAAAAATGAAAAAATGAAATTGGCTCGGCCCGAAATTTACATTTTGGGCCCCATTTAATTATTTTAGAATGATATGATGAATTTAAAAATATGGGGCCCTTAAATTTTAGGGCCCCGTGCGGTTGGCCATTTTCAACTCATTTTTTTTGAATGCTAATATGCTATTGACTTTATTACAAGGTAGTATCTGTTCATACTATTCTCAAGCTAATGACTAATGACGTACAAAGAGCCAATGCTGCTGCCTTCGCTGGGGCTCGAACCTGGGTGAACTTCCCCATGAATCCTGGGGAGTGGGCTTGCTACCACTCAAGCCAGGGGAGAAGTTCGGCCATTTTCAACTCATGACAATGGAGATGAAGGACAACAGATCTCACTTCCTAAGTCTAAGACTAAAACTCAATTTGAATCCTTAATTAATGTCCTGTAGGCTGGGGTTCATCCTTTTTCCTGATACACTTCACACTAATTGGATATGTAATGGTTTGAAATTAAAAAAAAAAGGAATGAATCTTTGATATTATTGAATATGGTTTGAGAATTGAAATTACCTGGCCGGAGGAAAGAGGTGGAATCGTGGAAGGCGAGCGCCGCTGTTATCCGGTAGCGGGGAGGCGGCGACGGCGAGCCAGAAGCCGCGGCAGTAGAAACAACAGACGGAGATGGGGCGAGAGGCAGATGGAGATCGACTACCAGCCCCGGGCCTGGATGCCTCCCAAATGGATATACAGAGCAGAAAGAGAGAGGGGGGAACTGAAGGAATCGAGATTTTTGGGAGAGAGAGAATAAATATACTTGTGCCCAAAAGTTTGTACTCCAAAGTTAACTTTAAATATTTGAAAAAATTATCCAAAATAATCTTAACTTTATCTAATTTTTCTAAAATAATTTCATTTTTCACTTATTAATATTTGCGAGTTTTGGATTACCGTTAAATTTCTAATGGAAGATTAATGGAAATGTCTGTTTTGCGCAACAAAATTAAAATTAAAATTATGTTTGATGAATTTTTCTTTTTTAATTTTTTTTGAAATTTTCATTTAAATTTTAGATATTACTTTCTACCTCCATTTCTTTTTCTCTTTTAAAGATTATTCTTACCTTAGAAAAAATAAAAAAAAAGATATAAAAAACAATAAAAATTAAAAAAAAATAATTAAAATCATACAAAATTAATGAAATAAATAATGTAATCAATAGAAATTAAACTGAAATTGATAAGAAATAAAATAAATATATACAGAGTGGTGAGTTTTAATATTTTACACACTATACCGAGTCTTAATGTACTACTTATTTTTAAAAGAACAAGCTGTCCAGTAAAGTTAAAATTATTCAAGATAATTTTTCCTAAAAAAAGAAGTGATACGTTAATACTTTGTATAGTGCGTAAAATATTAAAACCCACCACTCCGTATATTTTTATTTTATTTATTACCAATTTCAAGTTAGTTTCTATTGATTTCCTTATTTATTTTATTGTTCTTCTATCATTTTGGTTACATTTCTCATTTTTTTATTTTTTTTATATCTATTATTTTTTTTTAACTAAGACTAATCTTTAAAAAAGAAAAAGAAATGACGGAGGTAGAAAGTGATTTTAAAAATTTAAATGAAAAATTCAAAAAAATAAAAAAAATGAAAACTCATCAAAAATAATCACATCTTTAATTTTGTTGCGCAAAACAGGTCTTTCCGTTAACCCGACGTTAGAAACTTAACGGCGAACGAAAACTCACAGATTTCAGCAAAGTTCGGATTATTATGCATCACACTGAAAAGTGGGATTATTTTTGAAATACCGGGTAATGTTGGGATTATTTTGGAGAGTTTTTCCTAAATATTTACATAGACGTTTTGCCATTGTAGGGCTATTTATACCAGAAAATTACTCGCGAGTGACGCGAGTTTTGTCGAAATAACTTTCAGGTCTCTCTATTTTCAAAAAGACAACCGAGGTCTTTATATTTTGTTTTAATGACTTGGAGGGGACATTTCATCCAATACATCATCCGTAAGTGTTAATAAATGTATTTTTTCCCTATTTTTCCAATACCATTTTTTCCTATTTTGCCATTACCTTGTTTTTTCTTTTTTTAAAATTTTTTTATTTCATTTGTTTTAATATAATACAAACAATTTTGAATTTTTATACGATTTTATAGAAGAAATTCTAAAATAACACTTTAAAAATAGTAACAAAATGAAAGAAAAACAAAGAAATAAAAAAAGTAGAGACCTAAGTTTATTACCTTAAAACATTTAGAAAAGAATCTGAAAAAATACATTTATTAACGTTTATAGATGAAATATTGGATGAAATATCCCCTTCAAGTCATTACAACAAAATGTAAGGACCTCTGCTGTCTTCTTGAAAATAGAGGGACCTGAGAGTTATTTCAACAAAACTCGCGTCACCTGTGAGTTTAGGCCACTATTAAGTAGGGTTGTAAAACGAACGAATAATTTTGATTCGATTCGTGATTCGTATTCGAATTCAATTTTTGTATTCGAAAAAATGAATACGAATACGAATATAAATATTTATTAGAATTCGAAAGAAAATGAACACGAATACGAATGTATATGTATTCGATTCGATATGTTAATGAATATATTCAAATTTAAATATAGAAATTTATATCTAATACTTGGTATATGTTTGCCTCATAATACAGAGTAATCCGTATGCGCAAGATGTGCCTACACACATCCTCTCCAGTCCCTACTCTCGTTGGATCTAACTAGGTTGTTGTTGTAGACATATCATTTTTAGTACCCTATTAATTTTACAAAAAAGACTAAAGTAAAAGTAAACATTGAAAACAAACCAAAATAGGAGTTATATATTTTTATTCTCGAAATAGGAGTTAAAATGCATTTACATTGTTATTCATGACCATGTACATTACTAAAAAGTATTGTGAATTGTTCATATGCAGTGTCACATTACCACAATGCGAACTCCATATTTTAAAGATAAAATATATATGGAGTTCTTATTTTGGTACTTTTTTATATTTTACTTCTATATAAGATGATTTTTTACTAGTTTTTGAAGTTATAAAACGTAAAAAATAAAAAATTGTATTTCATAAAAGAATACAAATACGAATACGAATATTTGAATTTAATGTCAAATCGAATATGAATAGTAATAATTATTCGAATAAAAAATGAATATGAATATGAATAATGTTATCATTTTTCAAATATGAATAAAATTTCACAATATTTGATTCAATTCGTTCGTTTTACAACCCTACTATTAAGGATCCTTTTGGGAAAAAATTTTCTAAAAATTTGATTTTAATTTCCCCTGTTTGATTACATAAGAGATAAAATCTTTTTCAAGAAAACTTTTTTTTCATTCAAGGGATAAATGACTTATGCTTACTTTCGAAAAGAACACTCGCTCTCCGTTTTTGTCCTCGTCCCACACCTCCACCCTGGCCACCCCCGTGCCCTAACCCCTCACACCTCACCCTACCCCTTATCCCTCAGCCCCCACCCTCACCGTCCCCACACTCGTCAGCTCATCCCATCCGCCAACGTTAATTCCCCCAGTACCATGCACCAACACCTTGACGTTTGTCATTCGCCCCCCGTGCTGTTAATGGTTTGTTCCTTTTTGTTAGAATTCTAAAATTAGATCTTGAAAGAAACTAAAAGAGTTGGAAGACATTGGAAAGAGTTAAAAAAATTGAAAGGAGTCGAAAAATGTTTGAAAAGATTAAGTCTTAAAAGGTCACTAAATTAAATAATCACCCAAATAGATATGTAAGAAAACTAATTTTGGGTAAAAAAAATTAATTCATCTTTATCCATATTGGAGGTGATATGTTATAAATTTTGATATATAATGTTATTGTATATTTAATTATTTATCATATGTGCTTTGCAATATGTTGATTGGGCAGAGTGTTGGATGGTCTTTCCAATGCAGTTCGATGTCACTGGGCAGTCTCTTCTTGTCACTCCAAACTTCCATTGATGAAGGTATGTCAGAATGTTGTGACTTCTTCTTTGTTAGCTTGTTTGTTGGTTGGTTTTCGATTGGCATGAATTGCCTTTGATGTTATATGGTATGCCCTGATTCTTTGTTTTACATTGTATTGGCTCATTGGTTTTAATTAAATATTAGCTTTGTAATTTTAAAAAAAACGTCTCAAAATATACACTACATTGTTTCAGAATGAACAATGCATATTATTTCAGAATGAATACTATCTTGAATAAGTTTTAGAATGAACACTAGAGTTGAGGAAACTAAACATTTTGTTGATTCAAAATAAAAATTCTATTGATTCAAAATATATATTCACCGAGTGTATCTAACTCTACGTACAGCCAGGTCTACAGTATATATTCTTCTAAATGTGTAACCTGCTATACAAGAAACCGTGTGTAACTATAAATAAGGCATGAACTCAAGGAACCTCAAAATGCTACTACAAAAAAGGGTATAAAATTATCACAATAGAAAGGGCGAATAAGGTTCAATTTGTTTAATATTTGGGGTTTACAACTTTCATTAACTTTATTGGGATAGACTATTATTAATAACATGAATTCACAACAATTTAAATCAATTCCAATGTATAGCCTTCAACAATTGAATGAACTAAGTCAACTAACTCTAGGAGTTAGTAAAACATCTCTAATAAATTCTCACTCATAACCTTAAATAAAACAAGGAAGATGAAACTCGTAAAAACTCAAGTAGTCATATCACCACTTTTAATAGAAACTTTGATGTAGTTTAAATATATATATACACACTTTAGTTAGAAATTTTAACTAATCATATATAACTTTAGGTCTGCGTATACACACCCTCCCCAGACCTTACTTTCGTGGGACAAAACTGGGTTGTTGTTGGTGTCGTACACACCGTATAATTTTAGGGATAGAGAGAGAGTATTAAAAATAAGATAAGATGTACCATCTTTAACTTCTCTCTATCACTTTATCTCTTTATCTGTTTTCTTCTTTATATTCGCTTAAGAGAGAGCTTCAGAATAAAATTATTCGGTTAAAAGCTTACATAGTACTTCCATGAAGCTTACCGGAGTGCTAGAGTAGTATAGATGTTGAGTTCCAAAATGGGTCTAGCGTTATTTCAACTGAGTGATTGCCTGCGATGCACCCATGGCATAGCGGTGCATCTATTTAGGCGGGAAGTTTTTTCCCAATTTGGTTTGTGTGATAAAGATTTTAGGAGAACGATATATATGACCAACTTCTATTCTTATGATGTGTTTCACAAGTACGCAACTCAAATGAGAGATATATACTTGTCGAAAGAACTGATGAATAAAAGAATATTACGAATTCAGCGAAGTAATTCAAAAACTTCTAAAATTCTGCTCATATAAGCATAATGTAACAGACCTAACCTCTTCTTGAGCTGCAAATTTCCAGAAGGCTTTTACTCATCAGATTCAGACGAACTGGCAATGGATTGAACTCCTCCTGGTCTAAGACAATCTTTAAGATCATCAAGAATGAAGGGCTCAACCAGTTTCCACAAAACTTAGATTTTCTGTCAAAACGAGTCGGTATTGAATTTTTTCAGTCGCATCATCTCAATCACTTTTTCAGCTTTTTTGTGCTCCCCATGGGAAAGGTAACCCCTCAGAATGTTATTACAGCAGCGAGCGTTGACACCAATCAAAGGGTTCTCAGCCATCTCATCAAAGACTTCTCCAGCCTTTTTAATGTCTCCTTTCTCGACCAACGACTGCAAGTACAAGCTGAAGACGGTCTGATTTGTACGGCACTGTTTGAGACTCTGGAAAAAAGTTGACTCCAGCTTCTCGTGTGAGCCTGAAACGAGATACATCGCCATCATATGTATGAATGAAGGCATGAGTGGACCCAAACCGCGGTTGATGAAGTCTTTCATGACTGATTCTGCCAGTTCTTGCTTTTGAGCTTTTGACAATATCTCTATGATTTTACGGTACGCTATGGTGCGAATGGAACACATGTCCTCTTGCATTCCCCTCAATATTTCCAATGCTTTCATATGCTCTCCAATCTTTGCATAAGTCAACATCCTATACAAACAAGCTTGTGGTGAAGGGCTGGAATTACTAAAAGAAAGAAGTTTCGTCCAAGTTTTTTCGGCTTCATCCACATCTCCGTTCTTGGAGCAAGCTCTCAAGACTGACTCAAGTACATCTGTGCCCTCTTCGATGCCTCTCGAACACATTTCTTCTCTCAGTGATGCAATTCTATCCTTGTCTATTGAGTCTTGATAACTGTGAAGCCATATGAGGCCACCAAAGATATCCTTGTGTATTTGAAGCCCAAAGGCTTGCATGTTTTTGTAAACAAACTCTGCCCGTTCCAGGTTTTCTGCACAAAAATGTCTTTTTGTCTCCACTAGCGCTTCAAACAAAGAGTTGTGCAGGCTAAGATGTGGCTTATAACCTCCCAATTGGATCATGCGTCTGTAAATGTCAAATGCTTCCTCCAGATATCCACAGGATGAACTAAGATATAGGGCAGTTAAAATATGGAAAGTTGACTCATCGGGCACTCGTCCTTGATTAAGTATGTCATCATAAACCTCTCGGCACTTCCGAATCTGGCACTCCTTACCCAAACAATCTGCTACCCTTGTTGCTAGATTGAGATCAAATTGATACCAACTTTGCATCATCATCCATTTGTATACCTAATATATGCACGCAGCACATTAAAATATTAAATGATTAGCACCTACATTGTAGAATACAAGACTTCCTCCATCCTTTTTTGCAATAACTGTGGTGAAATGCATGTTGGAAGACAGACTTCCTCCACCACTCAGAAATACAAGTTAGGCTATTTAACCAATACAAAGCTCTAAAAAGATCTAACCTAAATACATGGAGTACATCTCCAACAAGAATAAGGAATTCGACAAATAAATATACATCAAAGATGTCACAGAAAGTTCACAAAACACAGCAAAATCCAGTTTTTGGTTGATCACTGATGAAGCCAAGCAGCTTACTTTTACTCATACTGATGATCTATTAAAAGGTAATCTGAAGAGCAAACAAAATAAAACATTTCCACAGCATGATGACCAAGTTACTAGGTCTTGCTTTTAGATATAACTTCAACTGTGAACAGAAAGAGTTAGTGAGTTACTTTACTCAAAGTTAAACACTGATAATTCCGAATGGAAAATGTTAAGATTTTGTATTCAACATCCTAAGGAAATTTTTTTTCTCCTGAAACTGTTAACAGGCCAACTTGAGTTGAACTCTCTGATTTTCACAGGCACCATCACCATGGTCGTTGGGAGGCACGAATTGCAGGAACGAGTCTCGGGGAACAAGTATCTTTAATTGAGAACTTTCAGTATGTTTTTTCTACATCTATCATCTATATAATTATACACTTCTGATTAAAATCTCTACGTCAGTATGATTCAATTGGCCTTTGGTCAATTGCATTCCATTTTCTATATGTGTACCTTCCTTTACTTCATAGTGCTTTTTTATTGTAAAAAAGTATAGAGTAGATGCTAGATCTTTATTCCATAGTAGTTCCGAATATCTTCATGTACCGGTCCATAATAAATTCTTAATTTTCATGCTTAAATGCAGCAGACAGATTGCCAACCATACAAAAAAAGAACATAAAAGTGTAAATGTCTGAATAATGATGAGCAGGTAGTTCTCTCTTACCATGAAAGCAGTGTGAACTGCCCGAATTTGCAACAAACGATGGACAACATAAGTAGCATATTCTTGTGTGAGCCAACCCCTCTGTGCATTCAGAATCCGAATCAAAGAATCATGCTTTTTTCCATGAAGCTCTTTGTAAAGCCAATTCAATCTTGAAGGATGCCATTGTCCGGGGGAGTCCTCAAGCTTCTTGGCATCAACTGCGGGCCAGTCGAACCCCTCCAACTCAGTAGACTCAAATGAGCTATCAAAATGGAATTTCCCCCACGAAGGGTCGCTTCTACACAACTCCTCCTCGTGATCGAATGGATCCTCGGACTCGCACACGAGCTGTTCGACGAAAGTACTGGCCGAAACAGGGCAAGTAGAGAAGTAAACCTGGCAACGAGGATGGAATAGGAGTGAAGGAGACGCCGCAGAGGATCTTGAGAGTGGAGACGCCGCGCAGAACAGGCCACCAAAGCCCCCGCCGGCACTGTGACGGCGGGTATGCCGGAGAACGGAGAAGGAGACATTTTGGAGGAATTTGGATGCGGCGCGCATGGTAGAATTGGGTGATATAGCATTGGGTGATATCGGAAGAAAACTACTCCCTATATTAGTAGACTATTAGGGTAGAATAGAAAGTGACTGTAATAATACATTATTAGCAAACTTTGAAATTATGAGGAAGGCTAGTGGTATCCCATTTGGAATACCCCATTTTGTACATCATGCATCCTAGCCCTTCATTTATTTTTTTATTTTTAATTTTTTCTCTCTCTCTCTTGCTTTGTGTGGTGGAGATGGAGGGGTACAAATGGGGTACCCCAAATGGTGTACCCCTAGCATTTTTGTGAAATTATTTATGACAAAAAAGATACTCCGGTATATTATTATTGTGAAATTGCACTTTTAGCATTTAAATTAACACTAACATGATAGAAGACTAAAAAAATTTATTTGTGAGACTGGAACACCTACGGTTCTCCATTTAAAAAATTGATGGTCCCTACCCCTCGTTAAACCCCCTCTGTCCCTTCTCGACCGAATCGACACTCTCACTCCTTCCAATTGCACCACATAAATTTAGTTGACTTTAGACTCCAAATTTGTCTTAATTTTGTGTGGTGTAATTGGAAGGGGTGAGAAGGTTGGTTTGGGTCACGCCGGATAGAGGACTAGGGAGGTTAGGGAAGTATGGAGCATTAATTTTTTAAATGGAACATCGTAGAAGCTCTAATCGATGCCCATATCATAGGGATGACATGAATGACTAATGTCACCCAAACCTTCCCCTAAACACTTTTAATAAAAGTTATAATTTTTAAATCTATTAAAGTATGAAGTAATTTTAGCTTTAGGGCCTGAAAATATAAAATGCATACGAGCCTTGTTTTTTGTTGATTGCATTCCTAATTGCAAAAGTGAATTTTGCAGTTTTTTGCAGTAAAAAGAATTAGAACATAAGTCATTTCTCAATATAGGACTTAAACTTTTTTATTTCTTTAATAGGACTTATTAATGATTAGTGAGAAGAATAATGTCCAATTGATTTTAGACATTTAGTTGAATAATGAATAATAGATAATGACCAATGGTCCTACATTGGAAAATAAAAACACATGATCTTATATTGAGAAAGTCATTATGTTTTAGTCTTATTTAGGTAAATTACTCATTGCAAAAGTTAAAAGAGGGAATGCTCTAGATAAGAATATAAGATTATGAAAAATATTAAAATAGGAGTCATTAGTCTTTTATGATCAATATATGAATTTAAAATGTCATTATTACACTATCACACACACCACATTGTCACATTGTACCTACCACACTATCAACGCCATCCACACTACCATCAGTCACCATCGGGCACCAAAGTGTTATCGCAGATTATTGATGATTAACTGATCACACTTATAAATATATTACACTGTCATCATATTTTCAATGCACTTCTAACGCGTTATAACGCCCTGAAAACCGGTTTAGAAGTTATTCGCTATTTAAATAAATAGGAATTATTTATTTACAACTTATTCTTTAAAGAATAATTAAGATATTTTGGAGATTCTAATCGTCTCACTACATCGAGACTAATCTGATTATATTTGTAAAGGTCTGAATTAAAATACTAGTCCGTATTAATTAATCAAAAGAATTAAGACGGACCAGGTGGAACCTGTGAGTACTTGTTGATTGGTTATAAAAGTTATACCGTTGGGTAAGGATCGATGAATCGAATCCAACGACGCAAACGGATCTCAATTCGGAGCAAGTTGGCCCGAAAAGTGTGTTTTACTCAGACACGTAATTTTAATTTCGGAGCACAAAACTCTAGGAGTTACTCCCTCTGTCCACCATAGATCTTCTCAGTCACTATTCACAGGGTCAAACTTCACTTACTTTGTTTGCTCATTTTTACTAGTCATTTCATAAAATAATATAGCCTTGTCACCTCTAGTTTTGTAGAACTTTTCATATAGTTTATTTCTATATAAATTTTATTTTAAAATTTTACTCCTATAATCAATTAAATTGAACTAAAAATAAAGTTGGTCAAGCCTCGTAACGCGTAATGGGAAGATCTTAGGTGACGGAGGGAGTATATAAAAGGGATTTTGCCTCAACGCGCAGCCCGTCCTTCATCTTCTTCGATTGAAACCACCGTCACCAGACCCGTCTTCCTCTTCGATCTGGCCGAGCAGCACCACGACGGTGGGGTGACGAACTAGAACCCCTGGCAACCCCAGCCCGCGACCACGGCGGCGAGGAGCAATCTGACAGCGGGGGAACCAGCGACGAATTCCGGCGATCCAGCAGCGGCTACAGGGGGCGCGGGTGATGACTCCGGCGAGCTCATGGGCGGAGGCGAAGGACGAGGGGGCAGCCGGCGAACCAGCAAGCTCCTGCAAACCTGTTCCGACGATCCCAGTTGTTCCGTCATCTTCCAGCGGCGGCGGGATGACATCCATTCCGGCGACAGATCGCTCCGGCGAACTCCGGCCCTGGCGGTCAGATTTGGCGAGTGATTTTGATCTCCGGACAGCTTCGGGAAAGTTCGGGCAACGGGGTTGAACTCCGTTTCAACGTCATCGTTCGATTGACACGCTCTTGAATTGACTCAAACGAATCGAGGTGAGTACGTGGACATCTAACACTAGAATATGCATATATGTTTGAAATTTCGTTCATAATTATTATCGTGATTGATCTGCGTGAATTACGTGACTAAACTGTTGATGGTGGTTTCGGGGACTATGCCGATGGAAAAGGGTAGTATGGATGATTTAGGTGCCGATTGATGAAATAATGTGCTTGATAATAATTAGAATGGTAATATGAACTAATTGGTGTTTATTTCTATGAGACTCTGTTGGTTTGACGCTGCAAAACGAAACAGGTAAAAAATTGGAATCTGTTGTGTTAGACGGTAGGTGGTACCGTCGGGACGGTACCGTGCTACCGTCATACTCTGTTGATTCTTCTACCTCTGCCGGTAGATGCGACCGTACGGTACCTAGGTACCGAGCGGACGGTAGGCCCTACCGCCTCAGTCGGTAGACGGCTACCGTGGCAGTCCTAACAGACTGGTTCATATCGTTTGGACGGTACCCCAGTACCGTAGGACCGTACCCAGGTACCGTGAGGACGGTACCCCGTACCGTGAAGGGTACCGTCTGGTACCTGGTGCCGGGTCTATCGATATGTGTTTTCGTCAAGGATTGATTCCGAGACCTTATGTGTTGTATGACGGTAAGTTTGGGTATCAATACCCAATGCTAGGCCGCTATGTGTTATAATTGTGATTGCTCTGTGTTGATCCAACACTTATGTGAACTAATATTATTATGATGATTCAACACATGTGTGATTATATGAAATACATATGTTTGGATATGATATTGCAAGTATGAGTGGGCTGATCCAGCACGCAGCGAACAAGTACCGTGTGTTGATCTAACGCGTTTGGTAAGGTAAGTCTACACAAAGGGAAACCTTGGGACTGACATAAATATAGGAAATTAAGAGTATAAACCAGGTGGATGCCTGCTGGGCTCCAATGGTTAAGTCGAACCAGGTAAAAACGTACGTACGGGTATCCTTTAACTGCCTGGTGATCCATCAGGTGGGGATTCCACCCACCCAACGGAGAACTCCTTCGTTGGTTGAGCATGACCCGCTGATCCAATGGGAACCCTCATGTCTCCTATACAGTAAAGTTATAGTCCTTAGACTAGTATAATTAATAGGGATAAGCTCTTGGTGATCCACCAACCGTGAGAACTCCCTCGTTGATTGAGCATGATCCGCTGATCCAGTGGGAACAATCATGACTCTCAGAAAAGTAGTAAGTCATTAGTCTATGTGTAGAATTCAAGTACAGACGGATGGTGATCCACCATGGCAAGATACGCTCCGCTTTGGCAAAAATGAGAAAGGGCATGTGCCGGGTAAATTATATGATGCATTGTTTATGTGAACTGCGTGATATTAAACCTATGTGCATGATATCAGGTTGTGATTATGAACTAGTGGGTTCGCATATGTGTATGTTCGAATTGTTGGATATTTCTTATTCACCTTCGTTGCTGAGCGTGTAGCCTCTTTTTCCCCTTGTTACACGTAGGTAATCATGGAGGGGTTGACTGTGAAATACATCCTGGAGGGCAGCGTGACGGAGGAGATGTACGGATGCAGGATTTAATAATGTTTGATTTAATTATAAAGCTTCCGCACTGTTTGTATAAACTCCGATATGTATTTTAATGGTTTTGTATTATTTAGGTTTAGATTAAATGTTTTTAATTTATTGGAAACATATTGTATGTGGATATCAATTTAGTAGCAACCCGATTCGCCAATCTATTAATTCGGGTTATGCGGGTTTGGGTGTTACACGCGTACTCTTACAACACACTGTCGTTATACTCATATTTTAGTCTTAAAAGATTTAAGACTTCTATTTTGGTATTTTCATACTTTTTTCTCGTATCTAGGGAGATTTCTTAAATTTATTTACAAATTGGTACACAAATAAAAAATCAAAATTTATATTTAAAAACTATGGAGTACATTAAAAGTTCTACAAAATAAGAATGACAAGAATATTAATTTTATTAAATAGTCAATGAAAACATGCAAATAAATAAAAGTTATCAAGAAATTGTAATAATAAAAAGATAATCATTTTGAAAGGGATGAAGTAAATACAAACCTGATTCTTTTGTTGATTGTACTTCGTATCTAATTTGTACTTGGCGAAATTTAAAAAAAACACTGTACTCCTTTTGTCTTATTATATTTCCTTATTTGATTTTTTACGGTTTCTAATGTATTACATTGACTATATATTAAACATATCTCTATTTATATATAAATATAGATTATAAAAATATAATATTTTAAAGCTATGTTATAAAATAAATTTATTAATATTAAATGAATATTACTCTCGATTATTATTTAATGTATGACTCCCAAATTGTGTTTAATTTATGATGTTAAAAAATTGGATTATGCTATGTGTACCCCAAGATTTATACCCCACAGTTTTGCACCAACATTTTATATTGGTGTAAAACTAAATTTTATTAACGCACTAACACTTATGTCCGTGTAAATTTTTGTAAACGCACCAACACTTGTATCGGTGTAAACCATCAAAATGTTTGTACAAAACTGTGGTGTACAAATGAAATATATTTTTTGGTGTAAGTGTAACATGGTCTAAAAAATTTCAATGCTCTATGCTTCTATTTCTATCCAACGCTCCAAACCGACTTTCCAAAAACGCGTGGATTCGATCGCCTCCCAGCTCCTATAAATACCCACTATCCTTCCCCTACGTTCCTACCACGCTTTCTTCAATTGGTCTGTTCTGTGGTGCTTATATTCTCGTCGGTCGGCCGGTAGCCGTAAATCCTTGGCTCCGGTCATTCGATTTTACGATTGGCGTGGGGTGGACAAGATAAACTTGTCTTGTCTATTCGTTTTAAGGCTTTCCGTTTCCGGGCGATTGATTTTATTGAAGTTTTACGTTTATTAGGATCGATCGGTTCGAAAGATATTCGTTTTCTACAATTGTCAATCAATTGTTTTCCTGTCTTTGATCCGCAATGTTTCTCAGATCATATATTGATTACTGCGGTCGTATATTGATTACTGCTGTTCTGGGCGATTGATGTTATTGAAGATGTGCCTTTATAGCGATCGATCGGGTGCTATAAATTTCTTCTTCCGAAAATTGAATTTTATTGAATCTTTGCCTTTATCATGATGTATCCACATACAAATACTTTTTTCCTCGTGTCCTTGATCGGCGATGTAGGGCAAATCATAGACGGAAGTGGTTGGTGCGCTCGTTGTTTTCACGATTTTCTGGTTTGAATTCTATTTATGTTTTCTGGCAATTGATTTAATTGATGATTCGCCTTTATCTGATTCCCACTGTTAATTGTTTCCCTGTCTTCCCTTGATGATGTATATCCCTGTCTTGACTCTATGATGTTGCTATGATTTCATATCAAGGATCGGAGTGGGTGAACAAGATTCACATGTTTGATTACCACTTCACTAGGTTTCTGCTTCCCAGTTTGATTATTGAAGTTTTGTCTTTATGGTGATTGATCAGTTGGGGTATCTATTTTTAGAAATTAATTGTGTTCATGTTTAACTGGATGATGTAGGAGTTCACCTCTGATATTTTTATGGTTCATTATTTTGGAAATTGTTTATTTATCTTGGTGAGTTGGTCTGTTGTTAGAGATCTCCACCTTGCTGTTGATCTGATGCAGGTCAGATGATATACTTGCTCTCACCTGCAATAATTTGGTATAAGTTCCTTTGTTATTTACAGTGAAGCATGGACATTCATTGTTTAAGTAGTATTGATATTCTGAATTATATTTTAAAATCTAAAGGATACTATTTGATTAGATAGTTTAAGGTAAGTGCAGCTAAAATTTTGTGATTTAATAGTTATAAATTACTACAAATTAGTATTGTTTTTATATGTATTTTTTGATTTAATAGTCTCGACATTTAAATATTTTTAGTACTTATATTAAATTTCTTCTGAACTACTCTGTTGTATTTCTCGCCATCCGTGGAAGGGACATTGGTTGTTAAACAAATACCCTACCCTTAAAAAAACTTGTTCATCTTATCAAATATCAATTGAATGATTATTTGGATTTTGATCTATTCTGGACAACACAATCTTAGCTGCACTTTTTTGGATTTTATTTGATGAACAATAAAGACTTTTTTGGTTACTATGTGTCCAACCATCTCATATGGCATTTCATGGTATCTGAAGATGGTCGTTTCCTAAACTTTATATTTATACCTTGACTTGTTGGTACAGTTCAGAGTTCAGACGAATGATTTGTCTCTAACCTTTTCATTTCAACTAGTTGAAAATTCAGTTTATAAGCCTCAAATTTTCATATGCCTCATTATGCTTTCACAAAATAACCAGAAGATTTTTGTTCATTATCTATTGCTTGTGTGTTCCACATCACTATTCACATGTTCTTTTCTTAAATGTTTTTATTAATCCCTTGATAAAATAAAATGAAGTTGTTTTCTCTTTTCTTTTATAGATTAACTATTGATGTGATTTTTAATAATATAAATTTTATTCTTTAATATTGTACTTTTTTATCTTTTTACATCAGAAACAGCCGAATCTGGTACGGAGGGAGTGTGATATAATTGATTTTACCAGAACCAAATCATATATTAACATCTATGGTTATTGGGTAATTTCATCTTGACCGACTCATAATCTATAATTCTTAAAATACCACAAGAATTTACGATCAGAATAGATTATGTTTAGTATTGAATGTGTTATCTTGATCATATTCCTGGATCATATATATTTAGGTTTTGATGAGTAGTAAATGTGGCACAAATCATTGGTTTGACTTTGCTTGCAGTATTTCGGATTCATCTGGCTGAGCAGGTCTGTGTGTTGTTTATCCAGTTATTGGACTTGATGTCAGTCATGTAAACAATTTTGTGAATTTGGGTGGTCGAATAAGATGGCTTGGTTTGATTTCAAGGCGTCCATTGCTTCTATTTTTGGAAGTTCCACATTGTGATGATATTGGTACTAGAGAAGGATTTGACAAGAACTATGCACAATTTCTGATGGGTTTGCTTCATCTTGACCACCTCTCATAATCTAATAAATACCACTACCATCGTAATCCTGAAATTCCTAATTAAATTATGCTGTCTTGATCTGTTGTTAATTTTCCCATATAACCTTAGCTCTGATGACTTCTAGAAGATTTGTCTTCAATTGTGAGATTGTGATAGTCCAAGAAATAGATGCCGGAAGTAGACTTTTGAAAATGCTGCGGAGTTGATTTATTGAAAATGCATTGAAACTTTGTCAAATTTTATGCCCCTAGTAGGCTTATGGAGGTTATGGAGCTCTGTTTCCAAGACATCCCCTTTGACCCGCGAGGTAGAAGGCCCGCGAGGTAGAAGGCTATCATGAGTTAGTGTTCTCACTTTGTACGAACGGAATAGTAGCAATCTGATTCTCTTCATGCAAAATGCTTGAAAATCCTACCACATTTAGCTGTTTTTATTGTCCAGTTGCCAAACCTTCTCTACAAGGCCTTTGTTGAACAATATATCAGATCCGAGGTTTTTTTCTTGGTAAGAATTTTTGTGGGTATGTTGTTTGGTTGCTGGAAGTTGCAGCTCTCTTGATTTGTTGATGTAAGCTGAGATAGGTGATTCGGTGTCACGTAGGTCCCCGGCCTCACCTGGATTTTATATTTCTTGCTGATGAATATAGATCAGGTTGATCTATTTTCTGCCTTGGTTTGCTGGTGCAGATAAGTCCTTACTGCAAGGTTTTTTATGACGAATTAAGAAGAAGGATTCTGTTCATTCTTTATTGCTCGTTCTCAACATCACTATTCACATGTTTAAATCTTATCTTCTTTCCTTACATGATGGATTTTACTAGAACCACATCGTATATGAACGTCTATCACTCTATGGTTAGTTTCTTCTTGATTGACTCTCATAATCTATAAATACCACAATGATTTATAACCAAGATAGAAAATGTTATAGATCATGTTATCTTGTTCATCATCTTGGATCATATTTGCCTAGGTTCTGATGAGTAATACGTGTGGGTCAGACCATTGCTTTGACTTCGCTTGCAATATTTTGGAGTCATCTGGCTGAGCAGGGTGATATGTTGTTTATCCTGTTATTGGACTTGATGTCATTCATGTCAACAATGTTGTGAATTTGGGTGGTTTAATGAGACTGCTCGGTTTGATTTCATGACGTCCATAACTTATATTTCAGGAAGTTCTGCACTGTGGTTTTTTTGTTAGTATAAATGGATTTTACAAGAGCCATGCAGTGTCTGATATACTCGCTTCTTGACCACCTCTCATATAGAATTTTGTTGTCATTACTTGCTATTTTTCTTATAAAACCGCCTTGATGACTTGTAGAAGTGGCACAGATCATATATTCAAATTCTATTCTGAGATTGCAATAGTCAAGGAATTAGATGCTGGAAGTGAACTTATTGAAAATGCCCTTATTTTAAGTCTCATACAATAGATAGGATGCTGGAAGTTGATTGATTGAAACTGCACTAAAACCTTGTCAAGGTTTGTGCCTACAGCAAAGGTGAACTACAACAAAGACAGAGAGATGAGTTTTTTGTCAGCAACAGAAGCAAGGGGGATTAGCAATACATCCAGATCAACAGGCATATGGTAGTTATGAAGTTCTCTTTCCAAGACGTTCTGTTTGACCAACAAGGTAGAAGGTAATTGTGAGTTAGTGTTTTGACTCCGTACCAACAGAATAGTAGTAATATAATGCTCTTCATGCAAAATGTTTGAAAATCTCACCACATCTATCTATTGTTGCTCTCAATTTCCGGATGTAAACTTAGACATGTGACTCGATTTCAAGTATAAGGTTCTCGGCAAGTACAAGGTCCTTGGTTTCATCTGGATTTTGTATTTCTTGCTGATAAAAATAGATGAGGCCGATCTATTTTTCTGCCTTGGTTATTGGTCTAGGTGAGTCCTTACTGCAAGTTTTTTCATTTCAATAGATTTAAGATCCAATTGATAATTGTGCAGTTCTAAAAACCGCTTCCAACTCTATTGTTGTGACAAAGTAAGGTGAAGGGTTTATTCTTCATTATTTATTGCATGTGTTCCCAACATTCACATGTTTGGATTGTATTGTCTTACCTCAAATGTTTTCATTGGTCATTTTGTAAAATAAAATAATATAGTCTAGTCACCTCTACTTTTTTTTTCTTTTGTAGAAAACTATTGATTTGGTTTTTTAATACAAAGTATAGAACTTTTAATTTTTAATTTTTTTTAATTTTTGAATTTATTACAAGATCTGGACCTTATTCTTGTACGGAGGGAGTATGATATAATGGATTTTACCAGAACCAAATCATTTATGAACATCTATGGTTAGTTTCATCTTGTCATACTTTTATTATCCATAAATACCTCAACAATTTCTTATCAAGATAGAATAGGCTATAGAGTATGTTATCAGCATAGGAATCAGATTCTTGGATCATTTATGATTAGGTTCTGATGAGTAATAGATGCAGAACTGATCATTTGTTTGGTTTTGCTTGCAATATTTGGATTCATCTGGCTGGAAAGTTGATCCTGATGTGTTCTTTATCCTTTTATCATGTCAAACAATTTTGTGAATTTGGGTAATGGAATGAGATGGCTTGGTTTGATTTCAAGGTATCCATTGCATATATATCAGGAAGTTCTGCACTGTGACTGCGCTGTGATTATGTTAGTGGAAATAGATTCGACAAGAACTAGGTACGAAGTTTGTTGTGTTAGATTCAACTTGACTTCCTTCTCATAGACTATAAATACCACGGCCATCATATACCGGATAGAATTATTTATCATGACCTGTTGCCAAGTTACTTATCAAACCTAGTTTCTGACTTACAGAAGTGGCACAGATCATAGATTTGACTTCAATTGTGAGATTTTGTTAGTCAATTAAGGAGCTGTTGGAATTGGAATTATTGATAATGCTTGATTTTGAGTCACAAAAATTAGATGTGATGTTGGGATTATATTTATTGAAAGTGCTCAGAAACCTTGTCAAGTTTTATGCTCAAAGAATAGGTGAACTACAGCCAAAACATGAACCATCTTTTTTGTCAGCAATAGAAGCAATGGGGATTAGCTTCACTGTTGATAAAGTAACTTACAAATGAACATGCATATGGAGGTTATGGAGCTCTCTTTCTTAGACACTCCCTTTGTCCAGAGAGGTAGAAGGTAATCACAAATTAGTTTTATCACTCTGTACAAACAGAATCGTAGTAATCTAGTGCTCTTCACGCGAAATGCTTGAAAATCCCACCACGTCTAGCTATTTTTTGTTGTCCTGTTGGCTGTTGCTAAAGCTTCTCTAAATGGCCTTTGTTGAACAATATATCAGATCCAAGATTTTTTCCCTGTTAAAAAAATTTGTGGGCATGTTGTTTGGTTGCTGGAACTTGCAGCTCTCTTGATTTATTGATGTAAGCTGAGATAGGTGATTCGGTGTCAAGTACAATGTCTCCGGCCTCACATGGATTTTATATTTCTTGCTGATGAATATTGATCAGGTTGATCTATTTTCTGCATTGTTTTATTGGTGTGGCCGAGTCCTGCAAGGCACCAGATTTAAGATCCAACTGATAAGCATCTAGTTCTGAAAACCGGTACCAGTTCATTGGTCATTTGGTAACATTAAGTACTCCGCAATAAGCTAGTCACCTCTTCTTTTTCTTTTCTTTGTAGAAAACTATTGATTTAGTTTCTAAATACTAGTACATAAATTTTATTTTATTATTTAATTCTTATTTTTATTTATTTTATTTTTTATTTTTGCATCGGAAAGAGCTAAACCTGGACCTTATTCTGGTACAGAGGGAGTATGATATAATGGATTTTACAAGAACCATATCATATATGGAAACATCTATGGTTAGTTTCATCTTGATTGACTCTCGTAATCTTTAAATAAATAAATACTTAACCGATTAGCTTCATTGTAGAAAAATATACATCCAGATCAACTGGCTTATTGTGCTTATGGGACTTTCTTTCCAAGAGTTAACAAGAGAGATAGAAGGTAGTAGGTAATCACAAATTAGTTTGAAATTCCCACCACCTCTTTCTACTTCACTTGTCCAAATGCCAATGCTTCTTCGAATGCATCTTGTTTAACAAGATATCAGATCCAAGATTTTGTGGCTATGTTTTGTTGCAGTAACTTGTTCTAGACTTGTTAACCTCAGATAGGGGATTTGATGACAAGTTCAAGGTCCTTGGCTTCATCTGGATTTTAAATTTATTACTGAAGAACAAAAATAAGGTTGATCTATATCAATTGCTGACTTATGTAAGATCTCCCATTCAAACATGTACATATCATTTCTTATGGCGGGAATGTTATTTATTGCTCATCTCTTGGCTCTATGATAGATAATGGATCTGTGGTGTTCGCTTCATTGTTGTTGCCTCATCATTCATGATACTAGGGATTTCTCAGTTTTATCCTTAAAAGTCCGGTCTAACTTCTCTTGTAACATTCATCTTTTGTTGCTCATTCAGGATGAGCAATGCGTACCACTGTGAATGAATTCAGGTTTGTTTATCCAAAATTTCATTTCCTGGCAAGTGCTATTTTGTGTCTGAGAGTACATTGATGGGTATTCATTATTAGGCTCAACTGACTTTTATGTGTGGTTTAAGATGATATAGTTTTTGCATTTTCCAATTAGGGCCCTTGGGTTGCTCTCTTATGATAAAGAGATATTGAGAAGAATCTCTTTTGTTCCTCTCATGCTTCTGCTCTATTGACTTCAGACAGGTTTTATGCCTTCCTAAACTACTTGAATCATTTCAGAGCGTTCATAGATTGTTAATGTGATGCCAATAAGAAAGGGCTTGAAGTTTCGGATCATAATGTTTACTAGACATGGTTTTTGAATAGAATTATTTGGATCTTAGCTTATGTGGTTCAGATTTCGTACTTTCTTCCATCACAGAGTGTTATTGAATTTATCCTTTAATGCTCATTGCCTGGATATGTTTGGGTTTTGTGATCAGTTCCTGAAAATCTATGTTTCCAACTACAAGGTCATTGTCTTCTAGCTTTCTAAGAGATCACAAAGTTTGCCCTATTCAGGGTAGCAGTAAGATTGTAGCTCACTAAGTTTCTGTTGTTCATTTTGTATAGCTCACTAAGTCTGTGACTATGTTGTTAGCAGAACTGGATTTGACAAGAACTATGTACAAATTCTGTTGTGTTAGCTTCTACTAGACTTCCTCTCATAATCTATAAATACCTTGACCGTTATAATCCTGATAGAATTATTTCATCATGATCTGTTTCTAAGTTTCCTGTCAAATGTAGGCTCGGATGACTTATACAAGTGGTACAGATCATAGATTTGACTTGTGAGGTTTCAATAGTCAAGAAAGGAGATACTGGAAGTGGAATTATTGAAAATGCTCGATTTTGAGCCTCAAACATTAGATTTAAGGTTGGAAGCAGGTTTATTAAAAACACAGAAACCTTGTCAAGTTTTATGCCCAAACAACATGTGAACTTCAGCCAAAAGCCCAAAACATAGACAATCTTTTTTGTTAGCAATACGAGCAAGGGGGATTAGCTTCATTGTTGAAAAAGTAACATGCAGATGAACATGCATATCGAGGTTATAGAGCTCTCTTTCCAAGTTACCCCTTTTCACCAGTGAGGTAGAAGGGAATCATGAACTAGTGGTCTTTCTGTACAAATGGAATAGTAGTTATCTAATGCTCTTCCCTGCAAGCTGGACCTGATGTGTTGTTTATCCTGTTATTGGACTTGATGTCAGCCATGTCCACAATTGTTTGAATATGGGTGATCGAATGAGATGGCTTAGTTTTATTTCAATGTGTCCATTGCTTATTTCAAGCGGTTCTGCACGGTGATTATGTTGTTAGTGGAAATGGATATGACAATAACTATGTTTTTGGAGGAAGGGGAGCTATTGAAAATACTCTGGTTTGAGTCTGAAACATTATATGTGATATTCGAAGTAGATGTATTGAAAATGTACGGAAACCTTGTCAAGTTTTATGCTCAATGAATCATTAATTACAGGAATGACATAGAGACGTCTTTTTTGTTAGTAACAGAAGGAAGGGGGCGTAGCTTAACTGTCGAGAAAGACCTGTCCAGATCAACATGCATATGGAGGTTATGGGGCTTTCTTCCCTAGACACTCTCTTTGTCCAATGAGGTTGAAGGTTATCACAAATTAGTGTTATCACTCTGTACAAACCAAATAGTAGTAATCTAATGCTCTTGATGCAAAACGTTTGAAAATCCCATCATGTCTAGCTATTGTAGATGTGAAGATGGTAAATCTTCTCTAGAAGGCTTTTGTTGAAAGCTACTACGTATATCAGATCCAAGATTTTTTCCCCTGGTAAGAATTTTTTGGGTATGTTGTTTGGTTGCTTTCGATTTGTGGATTTAAGCTAAGACACCTGATTAGGTTGATCTATTTTCTGCCTTGGTTTATTGGTGTGACGGAGTCCTTACTGCAAGGTTTTTCATTACAACAGATTTAAGATCCAATGGATAAGCTTTCAGTTCTGAAAACTGGTACCAGTTCATTGGTCATTTGGTAATATTAAGTACTCCGCAATAGTCTAGTCACCTCTTCTTATTCTTTTCTTTGTAGAAAACTATTAATTTAGTTTCTAAATACTAGTACATAAATGTTATTTTTTTATTTAGTTCTGATTTTTTTTTTTGCATCGGAAAGAGAAAAATTGTGACCTTATTCTAGTATAGAGGGAGTATGATATAATGGATTTTCTAAGAACCATATCATATATGGAACATCTATAATTAGTTTTGTCTTGATTGACTCTCATAATCTTTAATTAAATAAATATTACAAATGTTTATAATCAAGATAGAGTATGTTATCTTGATCAAATTATTGGATCATATTAATAATATATGATTAGGTTTTGATGTGTAATAGATGTTTAACAGAACATTTGATTGACTTGCATGATTTTGGATTCATCTGGGCTGCGCAAGTTGGTTTGATTTTATTGCGTCCTTTGCCTACACTTCAGGAGGTTCTGCACTATGATTAGGCCTACTCTTATATTCTATAAATACCATGACCGTCATAATCCTGATAGAATTATTTTACCCTGATCAGTTGCTATGTTTTCTATCAAAACCTAGCTAGTCAAGGAAGGAGATGCCGGAAGTGGAGTTTTTGGAAATACTCTGATTTTGAGATTCAAACATTATATGTGATGCTACAATTAGATCTATTGAAAATGTCTGGAAATCTTTGCAAGTTTTATGCCCAAAAAATTGGTGAACTACAGCAAAGAGCTGAAGACATATAGATGTCTCTTTTGTTAATTGGTGTTCTCACCCTTTACAGATGGAACAGTAGTAATCTGATGCTCATCATACAAAATGTTTGAAAATCCCCACCATGTCTAGCTACTTGTCCAAATGCCAAAGCTTCGTTGAATGCATTTTGTTTAGCAAGATATCAGATCCAAGATTTTGTGGCTATATGTTGTTTTGTTGCTGTAACTTGTCGTTCTAGGTTTGTTGATGTAACCTCAGGCAGGGGGATTCGGTGACACCTCATCTGGGTTTTTTTATTTATTGCGGAAGAATATGGGTGAGGTTGATCTATATTTGCTGACTTGTGAAAGATCTCCCATTCGAACATGTAGACATCATTTTTTAATGGCGGAAGTGTTATTTATTGCTAATATCTTGGATATATGATACAGAATGGATCTGTTACGATCTCGCTTCATGGTCACTGCCTCATCATTCATAATACTAGTGATTTTTCAGTTTTATCCTCAGGTGTCCGGTCTAACATCTCTTGTAACGCATTCAGCTTGGGTTGCTCATTCAGGATGAGCAATGTGTACCACTGAATAAATCCAGGTTTTTTTATCTTAAGTTTCAATTCCTGGCAAGTGCTATTTTCTTGTGTCTGTGGCTCAAGTGACTTTTATGCGTGGTTTGAGATAATATAGTTTTTGCATTTTCTAATTAGGGGCCTTGGGTTGCTCTGCTCTCTTGTGATAAAGAGATATTGACCAATTTGAGAAGAATCTCTTTTGTTCCTCTCATGCTTCTGTTCTATTGACTTCAAACCGGTTTTGTATCTTGCTAAGTTACCCCCTTTCACGAGTGAGGTAGAAGGGAATCATGAACTAGTGGTCTTTCTGTACAAATGGAATAGTAGTTATCTAATGCTCTTCCTGCAAAATTGTTGAAAATCCCACTAGCTATGGTAATTGTCCAGATGCTAAAGCTTCTCTAAATGGATTTTGTTAAAGAATATATCAGATCCATGATTTTGATAAAATTTCTCCCTGAAATTAAATTTTGTCGGTATGTTTTTTAGTAATTGGAACAGTGGAACTTGTAGCTCTCAATTTATTATGTAAGTTCAAACAGGAGATTCGATGGAAAGTACAAGGTCTTTTCATCTGGATTTTTTATATTTCTTGCTGATGAACAAAGATAAGGTTGATCTACTTTCCTACCTTGGTTCGTTGCTGCAGCTGAGTCTTTACTTCAAGAGATTTAAGATCCAATAGATAATAGTCCAGTTCTGAAAATCAGTACAAATTAATTTGTTGATACAATAATATTTTATAGTCAGTATAGTCTCCTCTTCTTTTTCTTTTCTTTACTTCTGTAGAGAACTATTGATAAAACTTTAAATATATAAATTACTAAAGTTCATACTTATTTTTAAACTTTTACATAGGAAACAGCTGAATCCACACCTTATTCTAGTACTTAGGGAGTATGCTATATACTGATTTTTAAATTTTTACACAGGAAACAGCTGAATCCAGACCTTATTCTAGTACTGAGGGAGTATGATATAATGAATTTTAGCAGAACCTATCATATATGAATATCTATGGTTAGTTTTGTCTCGATCAACTCTCATACTCCGTATGTGTTTACAGTTTTGATGAGTAATAGAGCATATGTTTGACTTTGCTTGCAATATTTTGGATCTATCTGGCTGAGCAAGCTGGACCTGATGTGTAGTTTATCCTGTTATTGGACTTGATGTCAGCCATGTCCACAACTTTTTGAATACGGGTGATTGAATGAGATGGCTTAGTTTTATTTCAATGTGTCCATTGCTTATTTCAAGCGGTTCTACACGGTGATTATGTTAGTGGAAATGGATCTGACAAGAACTTTGTTTTTGGAGGAAGTGGAGTTATTGAAAATACTCTGGTTTTGAGTCTCGAAAATTACATGTGATATTCGAAGTAGATGTATTGAAAATGTATGGAAACCTTGTCAAGTTTTATGCTCAACGAACCGTTAATAACAGCGAAGACATTGAGACGTCTTTTTTGTTAGTAACAGAAGGAAGGGGGCGTAGCTTAACTGTCGAGAAAGACCTGTCCAGATCAACATGCATATGGAGGTTATGGAGCTTTCTTCCCTAGACACTCTCTTTGTCCAACGAGGTAGAAGGTTATCACAAACTAGTATTATCACTCTGTACAAACCGAATAGTAAGCTAATGCTCTTGATGCAAAGCGTTTGAAAATCCCATCATGTCTAGCTATTGTAGTTGTGCAAATGGTAAAGCTTCTCTAGAAAGCTTTTGTTGAACACTACTACGTATATCAGATCCAAGATTTTTTTCCCTGGTAAGAATTTTCTGGGCATGTTGTTTTGTTGCTTTCATTTGGTGTGGCTGAGTCCTTACTGCAAGGGTTTATTACAACAGATTTAAGATCCAATTGGTAAGCTTTCAGTTCTGAAAACTGGAACCAATTCATTGGTCATTTGGTAATATTAAGTACTCTGCAATAGTCTAGTCACCTCTTCTTATTCTTTTCTTTGTAGAAAAGTATTGATTTAGTTTCTAAATACTAGCATAGTTTGTAAGGCGAGGCGAGGCGCCAATATACCTTCATACTCCTTAGGCGACTAGGCAGACGCCTAGGCGACCTATATATATATATATATATATATATATGTATATATTGAGTCGCCTAGGGTTCACAAACATTTAGAAGAAAGTGAGTCGGCAGATCTGGAATGGGAAGAGGCTCTTGATCGAGCCTAGAGATAATTTAAGTTAAATCTTCTTAAACTCTTTAAAATAGACTTGCAAAATACTTGGGCTGCACTAAAAGAAAATGGGCTACACTAAAAGGATGGGCTGCACTAAAAAAGTAGGCTGCACTAAAAAAAATTGGGCTTTTCATAAATTTGAAGTGACCCAAGGCGTCAAGGCGAGAAAGGCGAGGTAAGGCGACGCCTAGGCGAGCGCCTTACCGCCTTAGGGTTTTCTGGGCGAGGCGAGCAAAACATAACGCCTTATCGCCTAGGCGACGCCTTACTAACTATGAATACTAGTGCATAAATGTTACTTTTAATTTAGTTCTGATTTTTTTTTTTGCATCAGAAAGAGAAAAATTGTGACCTTATTCTCGTATAGAGGGAGTCATGATATAATGGATATTCAAAGAACCATATCATATATGGAACATCTATGGTTAGTTTTGTCTTGATTGACTCTCATAATCTTTAATTAAATAAATATTAAAAAGGTTTATAATCAAGATAGAGTGTTATCTTGATCAAAGTCTTGGATCTTATTAATAATATATGATTAGGTTCTGATGAGTAATATATGTTCAACAGAACATTCGGTTGACTTTGCTTGCATGATTTTGAATTTATCTGGCTGCGCAAGTTGGTTTGATTTCAAGGTGGTGTGCATTGCTTACACTTCAGGAAGTTCTGCACTATGATTATGCCACGTCTTATAATCTATATACCACGACTGTCACAATCCTGATAGAATTATTTCACCCTGATCAGTTGCTATGTTTCGTGTCAAAACCTAGTCAAGGAAGGAGAAGCTTGAAGTGGAGTTATTGAAAATACTCTGATTTTGGGATTCAAACATTAGATGTGATGCTACAAGTAGATCTGTTGAAAATATCTAGAAACCTTTGCAATGTTTATGCCCAAAAAATAGGTGAACTATAGAGAAGAGTTGAAGACATATAGATGTCTGACTTGTCAGCAACAGAAGCCAGGGGGATTAGTTTCATTGTCAAGAAAGATTCATCCAGATCAACTTGCATATGGAGGTCATGGGGCTTTTCTTTCCATGATTTGACAAGCGAGGTATAATGTAATCTTGAATTAGTGCTCTCCCCCCTTACAGACAGAATAGTAGTAATTTGACGCTCTTCATACAAAATGTTTGAAATTCCCAGGCCACCACGGAATAATAGTATCGTACTTGTCCAGATGCCAATGCTTCTTCCGATGCCTTTTGTTTAAAAAGATATCAGATCCAAGATTTTGTGGATATGTTGTTCTGTTGCTGTAACTTGTCATTTTAGATTTGTTGATTTAACCTTCGGCAGGGTGACAAGTACAAGGTCCTCGGCCTCCATCTGGGTTTTATATTTATTGATGAAGAATAAAGATAAGGTTGATCTATATCAGTTGCTTACTTGCGTAAGATCTCCCATTCAAACATCTAAACATCATTTTTATTATGGTGGGAGCGTTATGCATTGCTCAATCTCATGGATCTATGGCTGCCTCATCATTTATAATGCTAGTGATTTTCAATTTTATCCTCAGACGTCCTGCCTAACTTCTCGTGCAACTAATTTGGCTTGTGTTGCTCACTCAGGATGAGCAATGCGTACCAGTGTGAATGAATCCTGGCAAGTTTTATTTTCTTGTGTCTGGGGATAACATTGATGGGTATTCATTTTTAGGCACAGCTGACTTTTATGTGTGGTCTATATAATGTAGTTTTTGCATTTTCCATAGGGGCCTTTGGGTTGCTCTCTTATGACAAAAAGAGATATTTGACTCATTTGAGAAGAATCTATTTTGTTCCTCTCATGCTTTTGCTCTATTGACTTCAGACTGGTTTTGTGTCTTGCTAAATTACTTAAATCTCTTTATTTTATTATCTTATTTTTTTCAACTTTGGGTTACAATTTTTTTGTGCATTAAAATGTTCAGAAATGAATAAGTGCTGTGCGGAGAAACTTTTTTCTTTTTTGGTTTTTATCTCTTTGTATGGCAATTTTTAATTTATTTATTTTGAAAGTGTTATTGTGTAGTTTAATTATGCTTTTTAACTCCGCCTGTGAGAGCAGCCGGTCCCCAGCCCGGATAAAAGGAGGAGGGGAAAGCTAACTAAGTACTTGCACTTCATCACTAGCCTTCAAATAAACCTTGTGACGAAAAAAATGCAGTGTTTTGGATTTATATCTTTTGTGTATACTACCCTATGTGGATGTTTGTGGAATGGATTCTCCTCTACCCGTGCTCATTTTATTGTAAAATACGAGTAATTTTTTTCATTTTTCCTTTTTTTTGTAGGGAAACACTATATTTTTTTAAAAAAACAATTGTAGTTTTATTAATAGCATGTTTACAAATCATTCACACACACCAACAACAACCCAGTTGAATCCCATACAGTAGGGTCTGGGGATTTGGGGAGGGTGTGTGTACGCATACCTTGCCCCTATTCGGAAGTAGGGGGGTTGTTTCCAAGAGACCCCCGGCTCCAACCTGCACAAAAAATATGATAGGGCACCACACACACAAATATATAATAATAATAATAATAATAATAATAATAATAATAATAATAATAATAATAATGAATCTGACGCTTTAAATTATGAGTTTTGAAAAACATTCCTTAATTCGAGCCAATGAAAAAACTATTTAGCTTGTCAACACAAACTTGGGAGTGCTTCTTTGGTGCACATTGAGTGCATATCAATTTTATAGACTTTCTCACATAATTTTTTTTATTTGAAAAAAATACTTATTTAAGTAGTAATAAAATGTTTATTTTACTTATATGTAGGTCTATGATGGAGATTAGGTTCATCATACAATTTGCTTACAAGGTAGTATCTGTTTATACTATTCTCAACTAATAACGCACAGAGAGCTAATGCCTCCGCTGGGGCTCAAAACTGGGTGAACTTCCCTATGAATCATTGGAGTGGACTTTCGAGCACTCAAACCAGAGAGAAGTTCTATTATTTTTCCTCTCAAGACGGGAGAAAAATTTAAATAGTAAATAATTTTACGTTTACTCTATTAATTAAAAGATAAAACAAATTTAATTTTCTTCAATTCAAAAATATCCAAGTAAGAGGAGGGAAAATAAAATTATTTTTCTCCTCCAAAATAATTTTATTAAAATCGCAATAGCTCATAATGAAAATGGGTTTTGCCACCCCTTAGGCACCAATGCAATGACATTTTTGAAGACTCTCTATTTAATGAATGCCCCCCTTTCATTCATTGGCTTGTCCTATGCACCAATATAATGCATTTATATTAAATTGAACATAAATAAATGCCAATATACAAAAAAAGAGATTGTGTCATATTTGGTTGTTGAATTGTGGCCAACTACAACATAACCAAATATGGATATATATAAAATAAAAAGCATTTAATTAAAGCTCAATCTTCTAGATCCCTCACGTGGTGGCTTCTTCAATTAATTTCTCAGTACCTCTTCATGGCTTGAGGCTGATCTGCTAGCTTCCCCCATCTCTCAATAAACTATCCTTTCCTAAAAGATTATCATATATAGTTTAACTTTTTGGTTAAATTGTATATTTAGTTATAATATAATGTAACTTTGGTAAAATTGGGTTTATTTTAAAACATAGTTTTAAAATATCGATTTTTTATAATATTTAACAATTTTAAACTATATTTAATTTGTAGTAAAAAAGTCTCATAATTTGATTAAAAAGTCAAACTGTGACAATCTTTTAGAGACGGAGTAGGCCTAATGTACTCCTTAACCAACTTAACAAAAAACTATGGCCCCAGAAATTTTTTAAGAGAAATTTACATAAATAACACTAAAACATAATGAATTTCCCTAAATAGCACTACATGTGTTTTTTTCCAATGTACGAGTAGCACTTTTAGTCATTATGCAATAGTCCATTTAGTCATTATTCAAGTAAATATTCGCTATCACTAGAAATTATGGACATTATTATGTGATATTTAGGGAATAAAACAGTTTAAGTGCTATTTAGAGAAATGAATTAAGTTTTAATGTTATTTGGTGCAAATATTTCTATTTTTTATACTCTAACATATGTAGTTGTATTTTTAATTTAATATTAATTTGTAAATAAAATAAATTTAAAAGTGAAATTAATTTTATTTACTGTTCAAAGAGTACTGTAATTCATTGTAGGATAGAGAAAGTATTTAAAAAAACTCTCTAAAACAAGAAGTGGCATGAATTTCTATATTTCTTTCGTTCCATGATTATATTTTCTTCTTAGTTTTACATGACACAATAAGTTTGTGATTAAAGAAAAATAAGATTGACCACATACACCTTTGTTTAATTTCTTTAAAAGGAAAAAGAAGATAATTTTAAGACAACTCAAATAAAAAAATGGGAAGATAATTACTCCCTCCGTCCTTGAATATTTGTCCACCTTTGATTTTTTAGAAATCACCCCTAATAGGACTAAAACATTGTGCTTATCCCTAAAATAGGAGTTCATGTTTTTTATCCTACAAATAGGACCTCTCCCGCCACATTCTTTCTTTCTCTCCCGATTTTGCCCTCTTTTTCCTTTCCGTGTCACAATTCACAATCTGCCCCGTCTACATTACAACTCTTTGTAATACACATTACCACATTACATACTGTGACACTTTACATTACAATGGTTCGTAATATTCATCACCACATTACAAATTATGACACTGGTAATATCCACATTACATACTTTGTTGGACTATCATGAATTTTTTTAATTGCATATTAACCATTGCATATTTTTATTTTTTTGTTATGCATTTAAAGTCAACATGTCCATATGAGTTTAAAGGACAAAACATGGACATGTTGTGAATTCTAATTGGATCAATTTATTTGCGTTCATGCGGTGGCTGCTGTTAGGAGACATCCCGGCTTATCTTGTTATGATTTTATTTCTCCTTTCTACAAAATTGAGACGTTAGTATATATGTACATATGCTGGTATAGTCCACCCAAACACATAGAAATTCTATTCCATGAGTGGAAGATCCAAACACTATTTGATATCACTTTATGTTGCATTACATGACTTTTTTTAGTATGATTTAGTTGTGTTAAAATTGCTTATACTAAGATGTAATGTACTTTTTAAAATGTCCTTCCTTGTTGACACTTTTATTTCATAATTTCGTTTCATTTAAATAACCTTTGTCATTCAACGCTGTGTATAGTGCCACAAATTGGCATATACATGACCAACTTTAGGGACTCTTATAAATTGTTGTACGTGTAAATGAGAAAACTAAAATTTCATATTGTAAATGGCCACCTTATGTCAACAATAATGCAACACTTAACTTTAATAGTAATATACTTATTTTATGTTTGGTAAATAAAGGTTTGCGGCAAGATGAGAGGGAGGGTAGGGTATTTTTGGGATGGCCATGCAAACTAAGTCCTATTTGGGGAATTTATGTTTTGGACTCCTATTTAGGTATATTTGATATGTTTTAGTCCTATTTAGGTTTTTTTCCCATGATTTTTTCGGTCAACATAGATAGATTCTGATCTCAAATTAAATAAAATGACATTAGATATTGATACAAAAATAATTTTATTAGATTTATTACATCTAATAGTTTCAAAATATTATTTTATCTAATCATATTAATATACAATATATACAATATAGATTTAAGTGCTATTTATAAAAATGACTTAAGTTTTAATGCTATTTAATGCAAATATTTCTTTATTTAATTACTCTGGTATAATTTAAAAGTTAAAAACACCTGATTGAAAAAAGTCAAAATTCAACAAATAGTTAGAGGCAAAAAGTAATAAATGGGTACCGAAAATAAACAAATAAAATTGGAGTATATAAATACATGTAAGGTAAACAAACACTAGTGCTCGAATTTAAGTATCAAAATCTATCAATCCTTGAGAAATGGAAGGTATCAGACACAGCATAGTAAAGGTAAACGGAATCAACATGCACGTCGCCGAGAAGGGGCATGGCGGCGGCCGGGTGGTCCTCTTCTTGCACGGCTTCCCGGAGCTGTGGTACTCGTGGCGCCACCAGCTCCACCACTTCGCCGCCCTCGGGTACCGCGCCGTGGCGCCGGACCTCCGCGGCTTCGGCGACACGGACGCCCCGGACGCCGCCTCCGCCTACACTTGCCTCCACATCGTGGGCGACCTGGTCGAGCTTGTCCGCTCCCTGGGAGCGGACAACAAGGTTCTGCTGGTGGGCCACGACTGGGGCGCCATCATCGGGTGGTATTTCTGCCTGTTCCGGCCGGACGTGGTGGCGGCGTTCGTCTGCATCTCGGTGCCGTTCCGGCAGCGGCACCCGGCGGTGAAGCCGGTGGAAGGGATGAAGGCACTGTTCGGAGAGGATTACTACGTGTGCAGATTCCAGGTGGTAAAAGGCATTCATTCATGCATTTTAATTCACCTCTGCCTTTTTCACTTCTTACCGTTGTCTTTAATTTAATGCACAAATTTAATTAAATAAAGGGTAGTGTTATATCCACTCTCCTTTTGGCTAAATCTACCCCTCATTTATGATGAATTGACAATTTTACCTTTAAATCTAAACTCTTTATTTTGTATTTTTAAGACAAAATTGCCAATTCATCATAAATGGGCTGGTTTTAGCCAGGATTTAACAACAACACCCATATATAAATCACCAGTATTTATAGTGCAAATTAGAAAAGTCATTATGTTTTAGTCCTGCAAATTTCACATATTTTAAGGGGCCACACTCTTATGAAATTTATACAGTAGCTTATACTCCGTCCTCTTTGTCCCTAAATAAACTGCAGGTTACATAAAATTAAGTAAAATTTTAAATTTTTGTAAATCATTTTATTTAAAGATTGAGGTTGTATGTTTTTTTGTTTTGATGGGCGATTAGGAACCGGGAAAGATTGAATCTGAAATCGCGAGGCACGGGAGTGAAAAGGTGATGAGGAAAATATTCACGGACCGGAGCCCGGGCCCGGCTTGCCTGCCAAAGGAAAATCCATTTCAAATATCCACGGATGAACCAGAGTTGCCCGCTTGGTTATCCGAACAGGACCTCCGCTACTTTGCTTCCAAGTATGACGACGCCAAGAAGGGCTTTACCGGCGGCCTCAACTATTATCGCGCTCTCAATCTGTAAGTGCTATACATGTCCCCTACCTACCCAAAAGAACTTTGGTGAAATTAAAATTGTATTGCGCTGGAGAATTTTCTACAAAAATATTTTCATTACATCTGTTTTGTACTCTATCCATTCCAAGAAAAAAAAATTTGATACTCTCTCCATTTCACATAACATTTTTTGTTTTAATTTTTAAAAAATTTAAGAAGAGTGTATTTTGGTAGTGATTACCCAAAACTGTCCCTGGATGTGATATGTAAAGTAGATCTGATGGGTAAATTAGTAGTAAAGAAGTGTGATGTGATAGATAGGTTAAAAATTGATATGGGTAAAAGTGACTTTTTAATATTAATGAGAAAAAAAAATTTGGGACGAATGAAAAAAAAGGTGAAAGGTTTTGTACGACGGATGGAGTATTTACTATTTCAGGGTCAAACTATATTTTGTTTTTTACCCATTTTTTTCGCAAAACGTTTGATGTTATTTTTAAATATATACTCCCTCCGTCCGGAAATGTTCTTCACGTGTTGACTTGACACACTTATTAAGCAGTAGTAGAAAAAGTGGCAAATTACCAAAAATTCACATACTATAACCTTTTAGAGCTTTTTCTCTTATTAAAAAAGCAATAAAAGTATGATGTGATAGGTAAGTTAAGAATTAGTGACGGTAAAAAGTAACTTTTTAATAGAAATAAAAAAAAATTGGAACAGATGAAAAAAAAGAGAAAAACTTTGTGGGACCGCAGGAGTATGTACTATTTCAGGGTCAAAGTATTTTTTTTACCCATTTTGTTTCGTAAAACGTTTGGTAGCATAAAAATGTGGATTTGGAATTGGTATTACCAAAAATGAATTGGAATTGGAGAATTCAGTTCCATCTAAATCAATTCCATAGGAATTTCAAATTCCAATACCGTCAATTCTGCATACCAAACGAACCCTGAATTGAAAGTAAAATTCAAAAGCCTTGAATCTACCACATACATGTGTTCTTGTTCATAAATGTTTGGGAATTGGCAGGAACTGGGAGCTAACAGCAGCATGGACAGGGGCACAAGTGAGAGTGCCAGTGAAGTTCATGGTTGGGAGTGTTGACCTGGTGTATACCACCCCTGGGGTTAAGGAATATGTACACAATGGGCTCAAGAGGGATGTGCCATTGCTCCAAGAGGTTGTTGTCATTGATGGGGCTGCCCATTTCCTCAATCAAGAAAGGCCTCATGAGGTCAACCAACACATCCATGACTTCTTCAACAACTTCTAGCACTCTACAACAAGAAGAAAAACCCCATGCCACACTCTATATAATAAATAAGTGTGTTGATCATGTAAACGGCCAAACGGGCAAGACGAAATCACTTCGGGCAGGTGGCAATGCCTTTAGAGTTTGTGTTATCAACATGCTCGTTATGAATCACGTTGGCGTATTATGCACTTTGTTATCCCAGTTGTAATTGTGTTGTCATGGGAATCGCTACTTTGAATTGTTTTGTCTCGCGAATAGATTTCACGTCTTTATTTGTCAAACCAAAACCGGATGTTGCAACTCCGGGTTCTTTTGTTTTTGCTTTAATGGTTGATTCACTTGCATGAATCATTAAACGAGTGATGAAGACGATTATAAAATTTTCCCTGTGGACAAAAAACAAGAACCTTTCGAGAAACAAAACCAAACCAGAAGTCCAGAACCACCACCCCACATACCCCTTTGGTTAGCAATGGTCGGTTTCGGTTTGAAAACCAGAAAAATCAAAGATTAATGAAATCCGACCGAACCAAATCAATCATATACTAAAACTGAATGAACCAAAATTGAAAACTGCTCGTATAGCAAAAGTTGACCCAAAAACCAAAATTAAATTACTTTAATTTTTACTTCTTAACATACACTCAACAAACTAATCCGGGAAGGTTAATTAATTCGGAAGTAGTAAATTAATTTAGATTAACATTTTTATATTGTCATGAGTTTAATAAGGTTAATTAATATTTATTTGAATATCTATAGTCCATTTCATACAAAAAATTTTACTTTCCTAATCACTCCGATAATATGTAAAAATAAGAAGAGACCGTGTGTGTTAGGCTCCGTTCCGTTCAACTTATTTTTTCTGATCTGATCTGATTCTAATAAGTTCTGATCTGATCTGGTCTGATCTGATCTGATCTCATCTGATTGGATCTGATCTGATTGGATCTGATCTGATCTGATTGGATCTGATTGGATCTGATCTGATTGGATCTGATCTGATCTGATCTAGTCTGATTGAATCTGATCTGATCTGATCTGATCTAGTCTGATCTGATTAATTATAATTTAATTTAAAATTTCAAATCAATAATTTAATTTGACTTTATAATAACATTTGAAAATTGTAATGATAATTCATATTATAATATAATCAATATTTTTTATTTAATGATTATTTTTTAATAAAATAAAAATAGTTAATTCATATATTAGAATAATCATTCATATTATACTGTTATAATATTTTTTATTTTATGATTATTTTTTTGTAAAATTAGAATTATACATTAGAATAAATAATTAATTTAGATATACATTTAAAAGTAATTAAATTTAGATAATCAATATATAAAAGAGATAGTATTTTTATTAAAATATCTCATCCTTATAAAAGATCAAAAGTTTGGAAACTCAAATTACAAGTAGCAATAAAAATATATTTTAAAAATAGAATTAGATTGACATTGTCAATGTATTTTAAAACTAATTTTTCCAACGTCTAATAATTAAGGATTACTTTCTCAGCTTTTTATTTAACCTATTTCTAAAGTTTATTCTTTTTCATTTTTAAGAACAATAATAATAATAATAATAATGACGACGATGATGACGATGATGATGGTGATGATCATAATAATAATAATAATAATAATAATAATAATAATAATAATAATAATAATAATAATAATAATAATAATAATAATAATAATAATAATATAATAATAATAATAATAATAATAATAATATAATAATAATAATAATAATAATAATTCTTGATGAGAACTTATTTTAATAAGTCCTAATCTGATCTGATTGGATCTGATCTGATAGGATTTGATCTGATCTGATTGGATCTGATCTGATCTGATTAGATCTGATCTGATTGGATCCGATCTGATCTGATTCGATCTGATCTGATTCGATCTGATCTGATCTGGTCTGATCTGATTTTAATAAGAATAAGAAAAAATAAGAAAAAATAAGTTAAACGAAACGGGGCCTTAATCAAATATGTTCTTATTTCAAATAAATAAAATAAAATTTACACATCGGTTATATGGTGGGTTTAGTTTTTCTTGCCAAAAACAAACCAAAAAACCAGAAAACCAAAAATGCTTTTCACATGAAAACCAAAAGCAAACTTTTGTTTAATTCAATTTTCGGTCAATGGTTTCACAGTCACTTCGAAAGAGATGCTCACCCCTACCAAATCCGGACCAAAACAACACACCCCTTGGGGCCCCTGTTTTTTTCAACTAATTCATTCAAGTCTCATGAGGCATATACAATGTCTTAAAACTTGAGAAGGAAAACTCTCCAAGTTAAATGTTGGAAAAAACTCTTTCTGGTCGACTGGGTTGAACGAGTTTGAGATAATGAAAGATATTTTAGGTTAGAATATCATAGTGGACTATCATTCACTTAATTAGTACTCCGTGCAATACTATTTTGGATAACTAAGTAATATACAAAATGCTAGTACATATGTAATAGTTGCATAATTCTAGCCCCCTGTTCAAAACTTAACTGGCCATGGGGTTTTGAAATAGGGAACTTTACCTTAAACTGCCACATATGATGCAAAATTTGCATAAAGTTGAACATAGTATGGCCTCCTAATCGGGACTGTCCACGAAGAAAAATGTTAAATCACTTCCAGAATGCAAAAATAGGTCTTTCAAATCCAGATTTCCGACCAGCTGCACAAGAGGTTATGTCTTCTACCGACCGAAATCCAATCTGCCAATGGATTGATTGCATATAGATAAGATCAATTTTGTTTGTTCATAGAGAAATATTTGGCACACAACGTTTTGGGCACGTCTTTTTGTTTAAAACAGATTTTGGAACTAAATGAGATGTTTTGCTTTTGTCAAACATATATTAAGTGTTCTGTAACCAACTAGTCAGAGCATTTAGGTCCTAAAAAAGTTTGTTTTAAAAAAACTTGAAATTCAAGCTTTTCAGTTGGTTGGCATCTTTTTTGCATTAAAAGCCCCAAACATTTCATTCCTAAATAGCTGAAGCAATCGACTTACGCAAACATCTACCCAAAAAGTTAACATCAATAGCTAGTTAAATAGAACATCATTGATAATAGTGAAAAACGGGAGAAATTTACCTTGTCCAAAAGTATTTCCTGAAAATCTTCCGGATAGATCTTAATATTTTGATAATTATCTCTAGCTGCCTGCAAGATAAGGGGAAGTTTGTGACCAGTTCATTTTGGATTTTAAAATTAATAATCTGTGGGTTTCTACACAAGCCAAATGAAAAACGAATAGGATACTAACTTCCGAGACATGGCGATTATTAGAATAGGACTTCCATGGCTGCGGCTCCAGAATAAACACACCTCCCTGCAAGAGGGTGAGCAAAAGTTAAGCCCAGTTTCCATGACACCATGTCGTCATTACAATTCTGGACATTTATCATAGTATTTAGTACCGGTCGGAGATACTTCCATGCCTTCGCAAACAGAGAAATTAATCCCTCGTCACCCCAATTTAACTGCACCCATTTTGACACACTTAAACTGCCACAAGAAAAAGTGAAAAAATGAAAACTTCCAAGAATAAGCATAAGGAATGTGCAATTGCAACCACAAGCTAATGCTCTCCTTGTCTGTTAAAAGGTTACACGTTTCATGCCGGCACCAATATGAAGAAAGTAAAACTGTGTGGATAAGAACTATTCACACAACTCTTCCCCAAAAGAAACTGGATTTTTGGGGTGGATAAAAAGGAAAGTAGGAACCATTTTGGGGCATATGGAGTGTAACATGAGGCACAAATGTACATACCATATAATTGTATCATACTTGGGTTCTGGCGGAAACCAATTTCCAACAAAATTTGCTTTCTTAAAGGATACTACGTCAAATAAATCTCTTCCTCCCAATGCATGAGATTCTCTAGAATTATCCATTGTTCTGTCATTAGAAGAATCTGCTAGGTGCCCCTCCAAATCATTTGAAATATTAGACTCTTCAGATTTAGATGTCTCTCCTGACGATTTCTGTGTAATAGACCTTGCTGTTCTCCTTAGGTTCCAATATGCATCCTCAACTCGACCTGTTACACAATTAACATCTAAGTCATGCAACACAGCTCAATTGGAAGTTTAAAATGGTATTGCTATTAATCCAACATTTGGAGAGTTGGGGCACTAATATAACAAACTATTTTGTCGGATAAGAATAAACTAAACTTTGAAGGTAATTACTAAAAACATATGAACTTAAATTACAACTACTTTAAAGTTGTTGAAAACATACCGTAGGCACCGTTTTTTAAAATGTGTGCTGGTGGTTGTGATGAGTTTCTCATGGTATTGGGTGTGTGCTAAGGCACATTTAAAAGCAAAACACTAAATTGCTCTTATTGATGATTATATTTGTTAGAGTGTATCCCAGATCGGAAAACTGAGAAGAAACTAATCAGTATATTAGCTCTTAATTTGAACTAAGTAATCGATTACTTCAATCTTTTAATGTGGTTCAACTCAAGTGATCCCTACCCCATTCTAACTTCTATCATGGTATCTGAGCAGGTTTTGGCCCACCTCATTTGTCAAGGTGTCCGTCTAGACGTTCATTCCTAGCGGCCCGTTACTCTTTAATCCAGTTGTCCGTATGGAGTATGTACCCAACAGCTTGTGGCCCGTTTAACCCGATTGCTCATCTGAAAGTCCATACCCAACGACTTGTGGTACTTTAGGTGTTGCCGCTCAAAAAACAAAAATCAAGGAGGTGGTAATCCATTTGCAAGTGGTCGACTTATTAGATTCAAAATGGCCTGATTGTCTACTTGAAGGAGAGTGTTAGAGTGTATACCAAATTGGAAAAGAGAGAAAAATTAATTGATATATAAGCTCTTAAGTTGAACTAAGTAATTGATTGAATTCAATCTTTAGATGTGGTTCAACTAAAGTCTCTTATGACCCAGTTCATTGATTCTGCCCCATTCTAAACCCTATCGGTATTTAATAACAAGAGGGTGTTTATATAGATTTGTTCTATGCCCTTATACCTTTAGCTCAAGTCTAACTAGTATACTCAATTAATTATAAGAACTATTTATCCTCATCCAAGTTGGGCATCCCTAAGCTCCATCTTGCACTTCTTGCGGCTATTGTAGACCAAGTAGCCATCATTCTATTGTTGTTCAAGAATCGCCATTGATTGTTGCTTGTGAGGTCGTAGCTTTAAGTACACCACATCTCCCTCATGAAACTCT